TGGCGCGTGTTTGTTGGGATGAAAGGTTGGGTCTCAAGCCGTTCGTTCGAAAATGTCCAGCTTTGGAAGGGTCTTAGATATGTTTCAGAAGCCCAAAATCCGATATTTTCGCCTGAAATTCGCTGATTTTTCAGCATTGCAAGCGTTTCCATTTTCACAATCCCCATCCCCGCCTCAAAGGTCTCCACTCGGACCCCAGAGATCTTCACCTGGACGGGATCAAAAACCAGGGGTTAATGGATGATAAATATAGGAATGACTGGAATCTGACCAAAATTCTGTATCAAAATCCGGAATTGTTTTGATTCATGCCAACCGTGTCGTACTACGAAGAATGAATGCCAAGGAATTTTTATTTCAGCAAGTTGAAGTCGCGAACAGCCTAGCTAGATGCAGCCATTGGCTTGTATAAGTTTGTACACATGATATACTGTGTATATATATATACACTGTATATACATGTGTGTAAGGATACATAGATGTATACGTACACCATACACATACATATACAGATACATATACACATACGCATACAGATATATACATATTGTACATATCATATACAGATACAAATACGTATACATATACATATAACTATACATATAACTATACATATAACTATACATATAACTATACATATAACTATACATATAACTATACATATAACTATACATATAACTATACATATAACTATACATATAACTATACATATAACTATACATATACGTAATATACATATGCACATACAGAAACATATACAGATACCTATACCGGTACATATACCTATACCTTTTTCCGTTGTCTATACATATGCACAATACAAATACATATTACATTTAGACACATAGAGATTGGACTGTAGCTAGATATGGGCATTGATCAAAATTTACATAGAAGATTCCCGCCTGATGATCCTTTCGGCCACGTAGCTCGAAGCCTTTCTCCGTCCAAGATGCCAAGTCGCCAGTGCGATACACACGTCCTGCGACCTTGGTGTCAGACACGACCGGACCCCAAAAAAAAACGGACGCTTCAGGGCTTGAACAAAATGACGAAAACCCCTGGCTCCCAAAATCTATGGGATTTGCCCTGGTTCTCAAAGTTTTGATAAAATTTGACCCATACCCAACAGATTCCAACACGCTGAATCCCTGTTTTCCCCGAGACTTGAAGCTAAGTTGCCTCGTTCTGACCGTCTGTCAGAGGCCAATCCACAAAGCAGCGAGCAGTCTCCTGCTTGAAAATAGATGCCCCAAAATTGCAGGGTCTATCATGGTTTGAAATGGTTTGCCACGGTTTGTCAGTTTGTCATCATTTCCCCGTAAATAAATTGCCAGAAATACGGGCATCCAACCCATTTTCGGACAAATCCATCAACTGGGTCTGAGATGTTACAGAAAGTGACGTTCATGAAAGCCTGCTGACTCAGAAATTCTTCGTGCCAAGTGCCGGTTGAAGTGGCTATCCATCAGTATACAAAAATCATCAAAAATCCACGACCTTATAATCTTAGATACACTATAAAACGTGGAATAAAAACACCACCTTACAACATCATCCTTGCTTGGACCAAAGTTCAATCCTTCACATCCTGTGGATTACTACCTTTTGTGCCTCTGGGAGTCCCAAGTAGCCACGCGCCAAGCCCTTGCCAGCCACCAGCACTTCACCCTCCTGGGCAACAAGTCATTTGGGATTTCAACATGACTCCACCAGCTCTAGCAGGGACTGAAACCCCTAAAAAAATCTGTCAGAATTCAACATGCAACATTTGCCCCAGCAGTGCCTCCCACTCCCTATCTGGCCAGGCTGCCTCCGTCATTGCCACGACATATCCAGGCAGAGCTTTTCCCACCAATTTCGGAGGATCCTTCGGCTGCATCCGATGAAAGGTCTGCACTCCGGTAGCTTCGGTGACCTGGGTCCATGTATTGACCAACCATAGAGCATGCAACCAGCTGACCCTGAGAGCAAACAAATTCATGATTTTAGTGTCTTTACACTTCCAAGACCCCTTCCACGGCAGGTGACTCAAAAAGCCCAGCCATGCATGGCCCAAATCAGAAGAAGGCACCCGAACTTAAGACGAGTTTCTCCGTACATGTTTCGCAGCGCTAAAGCGTTGGCCCAGATGTCAATGGTGTCCTTCCGCATGGGCTCACCACAAAGTGTCCTAATGAGTGAAGGCTGAACTTGACTGGGGATGAGCAAAGAGTGGATGAATTGAGCAACCCCTTCATCAAATTGCAGAATCATTGCAGTCCTTCCCGTCCCAACTGCCTTGCTTCCTCCAAGTCACAAGTGCTTCAAGCTTGGCAAATCCCCTGCAGCTCGCAACGCCCATTGCGTGGGTGTCATCGTGGCATGGCTCACTTGCATTCCCTGCAAGACTTCCTGCCAATGGGCAGAGAGATGTTTTCCTGTGAAGTCTTTGATTGTGAAACCCGAAGTGAAACCAAAGTGCATAGATATCATAGATGTCCTCTCAATAAGAGATGATTGTAATAAAGCAAATTCTTGCAGTATCTCACTAAGTTCAGGAATGATGCTTCAAAAATGGAAGATTCATAGGACACAATCCACTGACGCTGTGAAAATGCCATTCCTGCAATGCGCCCAGCACGGCTGCACGCGGCGGGGCAAGTAGTGTGGCGCCAGTGCAAAGGGCACCAAAGACATCACCTGCCGCGGGGATCTGTGGGGATAGTCAGCTGGTCATTTCAACCCCGGAAAAATGAGTCAGTCATTGGGGATTGATCATCCAAAACAGTTGGAAAACAGATCAAAAATGGGGATGCAGTCCAGCTCCTAAATCCAACTTCTCCATAGAAATGGTTTATTGAAGCCGACCAATGCCATCCTCATCACTGGGGAACTCTGTGTAGAGTACAACACGTATACGACTCAGGGCAGCTTGGTTGGTTTCCCCAGTTGCCTCATTTTCCTGATGTGTTACATAAATCCGAAAAGGGACAAAGGCATAAACTGTTCCATTGACTTTTGCAAATTACAAAGCCTGTGATGCTCGAGTGGGAGAATAGAAAATCATCGTAAGATAGGCTCACATGGGGCCAACATAGCCTCAAACGGGGCCAACATACCCTCATATGGGGCCAAGATAGCCTCATACGGAGCTAAAAAGTGCCCAATAAGTGCTAAAAAAACGTTCAATATTGCCAAACATCCTCCAAATGGGCTCCATATAAGCCCAACACAGGGAACACAAGTCTGAAGCACGACGAACTCCTTAGACTTCCCGAATCCATTACCCTTGGTGCGGGCGGTTTTCGTCGCAAAGCGACCGTGAATTATATTACCCTCTGGTTATTTAACATAGCCATGGAAAATGGCCCATTTATAGATGATTTACCTACGTATTAGAAATGGTGATTTTCCATGGCTATGTTAAATAACCAGAGGGTAAATGATCATAAAATTACATAATGCCAATGAATTGAGGGCCCCATCCCCAAGGACAAAGACATCATCTGTCAGCCACACCTTGTGCAGGGTCGAAAGTGAAATGAGACGCCAAAAGCTGGCGACTACCTGATGCAAGATCTTGGGGAATAGCCATGGGCTAATCATCCAAATCCCCCAAACTCACTGTAGCAGCTTCCATCGTATCACAGTGATGTGAATGACATTTGAACCAGGAGAAAAAAAAATGTGATAGGTTCCTCTGGGCTTTTACTACCTGGCCTATCCGAAAAAACCATCGACATTCCCACTAGGTCACTAGGTGCTGCATCATGGTTGGCCAGTCACACCCCAAATAGGCATACCTATCACTGACTATCACGCATACCTATCACCCAACCAGTATGATGGGGTTGGGATATGGGTCTTTTTCATGACCCATTAGCATTTGACACCCAAGGGCCTGGTCCCAGCTCCTCTACTTCCGCCTTGGCCAGGGCATACGCCAAGGCAGATTGGTGCCTGGGACAACTGGGACAACGGGCAGGGAGAACGGGGGATTGGGAGATCATGGATATTGGGGATTTCAGATGATTGTATCATATGAATCATATGATATATTCCCTAAATACAAGGAAATATATGGGGATATACTTTTTTTTGTGATTTGGGTTGGTTTGAACTTGGGGCCAAAATTAATGGCCATTGTTCAGGGCGAATCTTATGATTAAGTATAATCGTGGATTTGGATATCCGATTTTGGCACGAACTCAAAGACTAAAGAATGACCAGCTGACCCAAAACATGATGTCCCTTAAAGAATTTTGACACGTGCCCACATCCGGATAGTGGCTGGGATAAGACTCGAAAAGTTACCAAATGTAACTTGGGAAAAAAACAACGTATGAGATGGTCGACACATCGCCTCAGACCAAAGGCTTTTGGGGCTTTTGACTCTACCCCCGTCCCAATGGCTGCTTTGGGTCCTTAAATACAGCTGAAGCACTCACAAAGCACACATTTTGGACGTCCTGAATAGCGCAGCAAGTGCAAACGAATCTATCTCAATGTTGGCTTCCAATCCCCTGTCTGAAAGGCACAGCAAGCGTGAGCAGTATCAAGGTTTGCAGGTGTTGACATAATGTAACCTTTGCAACTGCTACCATTCACAAATCCCTCTTCCTAGAAATTTTTCAAATCTCTACAATCTCAAATTCAGACCATCCCTAGAAAAAGAAAATTCTAGAACCCAGCTTCCAGATTGCAACCTATTGCTTGGAGACAAAGAATAATGCCGTGGAAAATCTTCGGATGATCGAGTTCCCAGCTGGCGCCTGTGGATCCCGAGGTGAAGATCGCATAGCAGAGATCCGAGGGCATCAACTCCGCGGGCGCAGAAAATGCATCACCTGGCGCACCAAATTCGTAAGCCAAACATGGAAAAAAACTATGGAAAAATGCTTCAAAATACACAGAATTTGGATCAAGTTGGTTATGTTTTGCCATGATTTGCCATTCAATTTCAATGAACCACTGATTTTGGGCGGCTCAGTTTGACCCCCCATCTGAGGATTTAATGGAGTATCCCTGGTTGAAGTGCTCAACTAAAAAAACACATCAGTTGTAAGATGGGACCCTCAGGGGCGTGTGCGATGGGCTGACCATCGCAAAATGATCCTCCGTACTCCCCAGTTCGAACTAGGAATTGACGTTCTGGTGCAGGAACAAACTAGTCAATTCCCCTTGAGACTCAGGTGCTCGCTAAAACTGCTAAAACTCACCCAACAGCATATCAAAATATTGAAAGTTGGGGAAAGATCATGAAAAATCCAAGAAATCCAATGGCCTACCAGTTCCCACCTTCAATCGCCTGGTTGATCTCCTCGTAGTAAAGGACTGGGAGATCACCTGGAGGGCAGTCCTGGTATCCCCGCTATCCCAGTCATTCAGGCGACAATCATGGGATTTCATGGGATTCATGGGAAATAATGTCTGTATCCAATGTTATGACACCGGCTTCAACCGAGAAAGTTGATTTTAGCAAAAAAAAGGAAAAGAAAAAAACAAAAACAGAACCAAAAAAAACAACCCAACAGGAAAGAATCACCAGAAAGAAAAAAAACTTGATCTTTCTCAGTGTTTGTTATTTTATTTTATTTGTGCTGTTGTTCTGATTTGTTGTTTTTCTTGATTTTGGTTTTCTTTTTTTCTGTTTGCTCCGATTTTGTGTTTTGATTTTATATTGTTTTTTCTGTAGAACCCTATATTATCTGTGCTCTTGGACTCATAAACCCAACGATTATCATTTACTGATATCTATTGAAGCTCCGACTGGAGCGCCTTTTTTTGACAGTGACAGCTGGCAAGCCGAGACCCAGCCTACAAGCTCTTCGACTTGCGACCTTTGCGCTCGCCGTGCCAAGGCTGATGCGGCACATGAGATCTCAAGAACCTCGGGGAATGGCTCGGACAGGCCAAAATACAATACACTCTTTAGTGTATCCCAGGATATCGCAGGCATCGCAAGTGTAGAACCAAACTGGAACATTCAATGTACAACTAGGGTATAGTATCGGCTGAAATGTCTTGAAATTGGAGGATGAAGGGGTTTGACTATCTCCCATTCCACCAGTTCTGGTGCTAAGACCCTGGACACTCTCCCGGCGTGGGCTGAGCCGCAACTTTGCATCGCTCCCAAGGCCAGTGTGCCAAATCCACAGGCACAAAGGCCCTCCCAGCCCAAAGCACCTCAGTAGCCCAGTGGTCTTGCAACTGGAAAAACTACCTCAAGAAAGCAAAGAACTAAGGAACCAGGAACCACCCCAATCTGGTGGTCGGTGGTCATCCGTAGCAATGCGGTTTTGGGCATTATACAGATCAAAAATAGACTAGAAGGGGTCTGGTCGGGGACGTTGTTTGATGGAGATGGCCAAATTGTCTGGCTTCCCCTCCCAAGTGCCTCTCTAACTGCCGGAAGACTACAAGACACTGTGTTGCAGCCATGACGCTAGATCAAGAATCAGAGCAACCCAACTTTGATTTCCAACTACGAGACTGCTCAGACACCCCCTTTCGAGCGCTCATGCACAATTTCAGCGCCGAACGAAGAGACAGCAACAAAACTACTGGAAATCACAACAGAAAATTATTCAACAGTTCTTCGCGTCAAGCGAATCACACACTTCACCCATTCCCCCTTTTGTTCAGCCGAAGGTCTGCCAGCATGCCAATCACCAAGGGCACTGCCTCCTCCACAAACAATGCCACCTAACGGAGTCAAGAACCAGCCTACCGATATGGCCATTCTATTAAGACATGATGAAAATGATGATGGACCAGTGGAAATGATGGAATGGGATGCCTTTTCCCTGGAGTCCAAAACCCGCGTAGCTGGGTGATTTGTGAGGTGACATGTGTTCCTTTGCATTTGTTCATGAGACCGGATATGACCCAAATGTGTCGTTATTTCACGGGGAAAATGAGTAACCATGAGATGGAATGGGATACCATTGTGGAAGTCAGAATTGTTCCACACCATTTGCGTCAGCTCAAAACAGCTTCCCAGAGTCCAATGACCCCCATCTGGGAAAAAATCATGGAAAAATCACCCTTTTGCACCCTTTCTGGCTATTTATTGAAGTTCAAGACCACAACATCTCACAAACCGGCCAAGGCACCATCGACTGGAAGCCTCCACCTACAGCTTTCCGGCTCAGGGGAGTGATGTCAAAAAGAAAAGGCCAAGGTTAGCAGAGGGTACCCTATTCCATGGTCATTTTCCCCATGCAAATCGCCAAATAGCCATCAATAGCCATGAATTGTGTTGTAAACCCCGCATGCTGCTTGCGAAGGTCCGTCCTCTGCGGATTGGATGCAAAAGTGGATTCTCAGTTCTGTCAGCGGAAAATGCAAACTAGCTGATCCTGTGATCCAGGAAAAACATCATGAGATCACCAAACATCATGACCTTCTTTGTCTCAGTGCTACCCTGTCTGTGAGGGAAAAACAGAATGTTTTCTATATCTTGCAGATGTCCCGTCACGTGCTCAAGAACTGACTCAAATAAATACCTCCTATCAAGTAAGTTGGGATCGGTATCATATCAGCATGATACCTCTCTATCTCCTTCTGGATCATGGTTCCACGATGTTCCACGTGACTTTCAGTTAGCTACAGTCAGGTATAGCTACAGTCATTACCAGCAACATATGGTTTTTTCCTGACCTCCTTGGCGAATCCGCGCAGCAACTTTGGCAATGCGCTGTAAGAGCTGGTGGTAGCTCAGCTCCTGGTTCAATCCCCCATTGATGATGTGTTTAATGTGCTGCACATAATGTGTTTATTTCATGGGCTTATGATAGGAATTATGGTGATATTATGAAGATATGATGGGGATATGATGGGGATTGTATGGGAATATGATGTAACAATACCATCACACCAAAGAACATAGACCCTGAGAATAGTTGGTTTCTAGATGAGCGTAATTTTCCAAACCAGGTTTTTCTCCAACCGCCTATTTATTTGGTAGGGTCGATTAGTTTGTTCGGGGGATGGTCATTTACACCTTGCCACAAAATTGAAGTTTGGATTTGCAATTTCTCTGCATCTTTTGGGAGGTTGCTATCAACTATCACCTGTGGACACACCAATGCAAATGACATGCAATGAAGCTGTCAAACAACATATATATATATACATACATAAATATTACAATGTGACATGTCTCCTCTGCTGCACTTCACTCTATTTTCAGCCATGCTTGCCACATTGAGATCATAGGTAATTGTCGACGGAGACATTTGTGAGCTGTCAAAAGCACCAGAATTTTTCTGCAAGATGGTCTGAAGAGCAATCCGTCGTAAGCAGGGAATAAGCAGCTGGATGAAAAAGCAACCAATATCTGTCAAGGCCAAGATTGTCTGCAGGATCGATATGAAAGAAACTATCCGTCATAAGCAGAGAATCAGCAATGAAAGAAAAGGACAAATATGGAATGCGCCAAATGCCAAGCTAACCTGCAGGATTGATCTGAAAAGCCACCCATCGTAAGCAAAGAATTCGCAGCGAAAGAAAAAGGACAGCTCACTCATCCGGGTGGCCTGTGGGTGGGCCAAGCTCTGGCGCCGTCCACAAGTCACATGGAAATGCATGTGACATGTCTCCTCTGCTGCACTTCACTCTATTTTCAGCCATGCTTGCCACATTGAGATCATAGGTAATTGTCGACGGAGACATTTGTGAGCTGTCAAAAGCACCAGAATTTTTCTGCAAGATGGTCTGAAGAGCAATCCGTCGTAAGCAGGGAATAAGCAGCTGGATGAAAAAGCAACCAATATCTGTCAAGGCCAAGATTGTCTGCAGGATCGATATGAAAGAAACTATCCGTCATAAGCAGAGAATCAGCAATGAAAGAAAAGGACAAATATGGAATGCGCCAAATGCCAAGCTAACCTGCAGGATTGATCTGAAAAGCCACCCATCGTAAGCAAAGAATTCGCAGCGAAAGAAAAAGGACAGCTCACTCATCCACCCATGACAAAAGGCTGGCGACGGTTCATAGTCAGCGCGCTTGATGCACTTCACCCGTCTCACAGCTTGAAAGAGAGATAAAGTGAGGAAACAACAGATTCAGGTTCTTAACTAAAGTTCGTGTCGGAAGGGGCAAATCAATCATTGTGATTTCTGTAGAAATTTCCTGCAAATAATGCTGTAGTGTCTCTATGTTCTTTAAACGCAAAGCCCACAAGATATCAAGGATCGGCATCCCTTGCTTGTAAAGTTCAACTGTGCCGCCTGCCCTCAGGCATCCTGGGGTCAGCTTTGCGCTTGGTGGCACGCCAAGGCACTTCAAAATTTTGTTCCATCTCACCCGAAAAGCTGAAGCTGAGCCAGGATACAAAGGCTCATTGCAATCTAGCCCGCCGAAGACACTGGCCAAGAAAAGAGAAATGGAAGAGTCTCGTACTTTAACATGCTGAACTCTGCCCAGGCCCCTACGGCCGGGTTTTGGCTTCACGATACGCAAAAAACAAGCTGAACCAGGAACAGCGCCCAAATCATCAGGCAAAACCAATGACTTGCGGGACGCATTTAACACTTCGCCAGGCCTGCAGCATCCATAAAAGCAAACCAATAAAACAGCAGCAACCCTCTTCCATTTCCAGTTCAGCGCTATCACGACCATTGAATGCAGTAGAGCTATGGGCACCGGTCTGCGGTGCTCAACAGGTTCAAGCTCTTCCCATTTTGAGACAATGGTCCATGCTGGTTGCATTTGCCCTTTCAGTACAGGACATACTCTTTGGGCGTAAATGAGCAAATGCCTTAAATTGAAAAGCGAGCCGCCCACACTGTACCAATGTCTGCCATATGCGCCAAGAAGGGCCACCATAAGCCCAGGTACTGCCCACAATGATGCGCAAGCTGATTCGCCCAAAACTTCTTGGGCCCAAACCAGAAATTTTTGCCATTGATCGCGGCCCAAAGCCAAAGTCTCTGGACGTATGAGTTCCACACGGTCAAGGTCAGCAACATCTTTGGGCTCGGGCATTCTCTTGCGACGAAGCGGCCCTGGGTTCTTTGCTTCTCCAATTCGCCTGTGGTTGCACCGGCAAGCCAACGACAGAGGCCCATTGAATCTTCCCAGCTGGAGGCAAACAGCCTGAGCAAGCTGAGCGCAAAGCTTTTCAGGGTAAGGCTGGGCCAGCTTCGTCATGCATGCGCGTGTTCCATCTCCACGACCCCGGAGCAGAAAATGTTTGTGATGCCCCATACAAAAAGCTTTCGTACCAGATAAAAAGCTATTTGGCCCTACAAGGAACCGCATTCGTTTGCGCCATGGCGCGCCATACCTGCAGAAATCGCATCTAAAAACGTTGCCATGCTCCAGAGGACGAAGCTCCGCCCACTCAGGTTGAATCCACATGTATGAGTTATGCGGATGTGCAACCCAAAAAGCAATGTTCAAACTTTTGCAAATGCCAACGAGCCGAGCCACCCATTCAGAATGCTTGTTAGCCTCCAAAATTTTTGCAACCATGTTCTTTGAAACTCCAGGCATGCCTTTAGGATGAGCTCGAGACCTTACCGCAGGTGTTATGGCCCTTGAAAACGAGCCGCAAAATGGCGCAGCAGAAACATGCTCAAAGCAACCACTGCGAATAAGATACTCAAGTTTTTGTTTCACTTCTGCTTTCAAAACATCGCACTGCGGTCCATCAGCAATGTCGATTGTGAGGACCCATTGCGCACCACATCGCAGGCTAGCTTTTGCAAAACCCCTTCTTCCACTGTAAATGTTAAGAAAACCTTTCTCTGTTGGGGGCCAAGGGCTGTCCTGGCCAATCATGAACTGGTCCTTGCCAAAACTCTCCAAAACAAACAAGCAATCTTTGTCAAAGGGCAACTGAAGGGTAGAATCTTTAGTCTCACACTGTTTGCGCTCACCGGTGCAACTTCCTACTTCGTTACATGCTGTTTGTTTCTGCGCTGCTCTGAGCCGCAGCCTGTCCTTGACTGCTCTATGGCGCAACTTGGTCCGCCGCAAACGCAAAGAATCGAAATTATCAGGCTTAGCGATCATCAATTCGTTAAGGCATGGGTACCCCCCTAGTTGTCGAGGATGAAGAGATTCTGAAAGCAAGAAATCATCCATGTCCCAATATTCTCCCACAGCAGCACTCAACCACCAAGAAGGGCACTCAACATCAGCAACACGCAAGGGAACCCCCCTTGTTGGGTCATCAGCAGGGTTGTGCGCAGACCGAAGGTAACCACCAGACGAATAGATACCCCGACCCAGGACATCAGCAAGACTTTGACGCAGAATAGCATTAAGGCATGACGACGCAGACCTTCCCTTGCAGACCGCCCCCAGGCTGACCTGAGAGTCACTCCCAATAGGTACCCGCTTGTCGCCATCCGCACCAGCACCGATGACCTCAGCCTTGAGATACGCCCGTAATTCCCCAATGTTGATGTGTCTTCCCGCCTTTGCCCGGCACTTCCACTCAAGCTGATAATCAAGACCACGAGCAGCAACTTCCCAAACCGGATGTTCACTGTATGCAACCTCATCACCTGGAAGCTCATCCTCAACAGGAAGAAAACCTTTATTTCGTAGATGAGCTTTGTAGGGCGACAGCAACCTTGTCCAGCACGATTTCGACACCCCATGGCGGTGAATTTCATCACGTAGACCGGAAGGTAGGTCAGAAGAAACAACAGCATCACCCCAATTGGAAGCATCAACCATGTACACCTTTTCGCAAAACCCTGCACGAAGGTCTGTAACTGCTAAAGGGCACAAAATAGCCAAAGACCAGAGCTCATCAACCGCGGCAGAGGGCAACCTGACGATGTCCCGACGATCACGACCTCCCTGCAGACAGTAGACGTAATCCAGCAAGGACATCATACGCCGACGAAAGCCAAACAAGGACACATAGCCACCAGCAAGAATCTCCAGCAAGGACACGCTACAGATACCCAATGAAGCAATCTGGACGGTAACCCAAACTAAGGACGCAGCCCGAACAATGTTGCCCCTGACAAGCCCGACTTTTCCATCAACGTCAGCTCCCCAGAAAGACGCAACTTCTTGTTCTTCAAAGCCCTTACTGGGATGCGCTTCAAGACCAACCTGGTTGTACATGTTGTGCATTAATTTTCTTCTCGCAGGTGCTTCAACCCCAGAAACTGCATCGTACGCGACCTTCTCAAGAAGGCAAAAATCATCAATAATGATACCACCGAGAAAATCACACCGAGGGGTTCGCCCATGAATTGTCAACAAATGTTCTGGGAGTAAAGCCCCACATTGCAAAGCCATTGCTAAGTGTGATGTTTGCGCGTACTCGCAAGCAGCCGAATCACCCATAGCCAAGGAAGCCAAACACGCGTAAACATAGGGTTCACCGCTAAGTTCGTCAGGAAAACTTTTGAACTGTTTCGCTAATTTAATAGGGATCTTCCAGTCGAGGAAATTCCTTGCAACCCTCAGCTTGTTGACCCTGAAGGTGTAAAAGAAGTTTGACAAATCATCACCGCTCATTAATAATTTCTCACTGTCCTTGAGGTGGATGCCCAAAATAGCAGAAGGCGATGCCATGGTCATGATAAAACGGTTTGGTGGATTCTGCAAAAGATTGGCAGGTCGACCATCCAGAATCAAACGGTCAACCTTTGTACTCTTAGGAACGCAGAAAAGCCCATTGCCAAACCCTTCTACAACATCACCAGCTTTGCAAAAACCAAGCCGACCAGTAGTTTCAAGAAGCCGCAAAAGCTTAACCTTCTCGTCCATGTCAGCATGAACTCTCACCTTTGGGGGTGGTTCCAAACAGTCTTCTCGTGAAATGCCAGATGAAAAAGGATCTTCATACAGTTGTTGCGATTGCTGATCTAAAAAAGGCATTGGATCAAAAGTAGGTTGACCCTCCATCTTAACCCTATCTGCAATGATCTGTTGGGCTCCGCAAACATCGCCCTTTCCTAGTCGCCCAATAATTTGACCGCGATCGTTGACAGGCTTTGCTTGCTGAACAACACTCCGGCTTCTCTGATACTTTTTCACTTCAGCCGCACTTGAAGCTGCAATCTTGGAGAGATCTCTGAGCACCTCTTCTTGGCGCTCCTGCTTGGCCGCAACACGGCCCATTTCATCTGCACGTAAAACACCAAGGTGTTTCCAAGCCTCACTGAGCTTTCTGAGACGGCTTATAACTGCAGCTTGCGCTGGGCTAAGCTGACACTGGCCACAAATCCATGAAGGAGGCTTTGAAGGTTTATTCAAATGTAAATAATTCAGGTATCCGACCTGGAGGTTGATAGCCTTTCTGAAAGCCAGTTCTGCACCGTCCAAAGAAGAGCTCTGCCTTCCAAAATGGTAAGGCAATGGCATGGGCCAAAGTGAGGCCGTGAGGGGCTTGTCAACACCCCTCAGTGGCTTGGAATGCATGGCTTGAAAGAAAAAGCTGAATCCAGTTTTGGATTTCAAGACCTGGCGAGTCATCGCTTGCCAAACGGATTGAATTCTTACGTCGCTGGCATGGGATCCTGGAACATTTCTGCCAACAGCGATGTCATGCATCATAGGTGGAAGAGGGGCGGAAGCGTCACCCATCTGCACTTCGTCAATGATGGGGACATTCTGCTGGGCTCTCAAAGCACCGGCAGCACGAGACACAACAGCAGCACTCGCCACGTCCGGCTCACCGCAAGGCAAATTCTTTCCCGACTGCTCCCGACCGTGTAGCACAGTAGGGCTCCAAACCCCCTGTGTTGAGGACGAAGAGCTCGGCAAAGAGCAGCCAGTAGGAACTCTAAGCGGGAGACCGTGTGGACTGAGGTCAGCTACTGTCCCTCCACTGAGTCCGCTTCCCCCTCCCTTCCTTTCTTCTTGCCTTTGCCTTTCTGACTGCCTTTGCTTTTGGCTGCAGCTTCGGCTGGCTGCGACGGACTCTGCCCCTGCCCTCGAGAGCGCAAGGTCAATTTTCGTCTCATCTCGACGTATGTGTCCAATTGCTTCAGACGATCTGCAAAGGCTTCGATCCACCTTGGGTCTAAAAGTCGTGTTGTGGCCATTTCCGTGGTGTCTGGGAGCACGTGGCTTTGGAAGCTGGATAGTGGCACTGCAGGCTCCATGAGGAACTCCTGGCTGAGGAGGAAGGAGCCGTGGTCCAAGCTTTCCTGCTCTGCAGCGGCGAGAAGGAGACAGCACCGTGCACGGGCCCGATCGTTCTGGCCCGTGCGTAGATCGTCTAAAATTCCCGAGATGCCCCAAATCCAACGGCAAGTCCGAATGTATGGCTGGATCTTTGACCTGTGCTCGCACCAGCCGCGTGCTGTGAATGCCATTGATGCATTGGGCAGCGACGTCTGCAAATTGAAATCCTGAGCCATGTTGGCCTCCACGCTCCGCCAAATTTGCGAAGCATCTTCCTGAAAAGCTTTTTGCAATGCACGTCTTGCGGCTGCGTGCTTCCGACCCATGGCTGAAGAAACATCGCCCGACCCAGATCCTCCTCCGCCTACTTGGTCCAGCGTCTCTTCCAAGCTGGAGCTGGTCTGCGCAGGCTTTGTTATTTTGGCCATGATCTGGGTCAATTTCACCACTGCATCGGCCATAGGATCGCCCATTGTTGGCGGAGCAGGCTCTTCTACGTCTTCCTCGTCCGAAACTGGATGCGCTTGCTGCAGTGGAGCACCTGACCGAGGATAGTCCTCTAACTTTGCAGGACCCGACTTCAGCACATTGCTCATTGTCTGTAAGTGCTCGGGCGGTATGCCCGCTTGCAGCGCTGATGCAACCACCCCGGGATCCAGCCCAGGGTAAGCATGCAGGGATGCCAGGCCTGGAGGAGGAGCATGAGGAGCAGGTTGAGTTCGAACTTTTGCCTTGGCCGCAAGGTTGGCTTTGGCTGCGGATTTTGGTGCTGTGGGATACATTCTGCCTGATGAACCTTCGTCTGCTGTGGCAAACCCAGCATCGCCTTTGCCTTCGTGGATTTCGATCAACCTGGTCATGCTGGCTTGCATGGCCGCAAACTTCTCTTCTAGAGCCGTAATCCTCTCTGGACCGACAAACTCCGGAGAAGCAGAGCTGACTTGAAACTTTTCCTGGGCAACTTCCACAAGCGCATCTGCGAGTGGAAAGCATGGCTCCTCAGTGTCCTTGTCCACAAAATCAATGGCGGGAGCGTCCTCCCCACTGAAGTCAAGAGCAGACCTGCTTTCTTTTTTCAGCCAGCCGACCCAAGTATGAATGGAGATGCCGTCTGCAGCCTCTTCTCTACTGTCAGCGGCACAACCTGCGACACTCAAGGAAATGGCTTTCTGCAAGGTTCCGGGTGGCAGCTTTCTCTTATCTGCTTTTCGGTTCCAAGAAGAGCCAGGGACAGCAACGAGAAAACGGTCTTCGACACACGCAATGATAGCAACTGCAACAGTGTCCTGCGATTGCTCAGAACTCAGAAAAACACCTGTATTATATGCGTAAGCAATACCGTCAGGTGTGAGGATGACTTCAGCCTTGAGTTCCTCGAGTAGAGAAGCCTCAGGCCTAGCTTGGCCACCACTCATCTCAGCACGGTCAGGAACCAGCAAGACAAGACTTCAAACACAGCCTCAGACAACCTTCCAAACAATCAAAATCAGCCAAGTACCTAAGGGGATGGCTTTCAGTCGCTGTCTGCGCAAGGTACCCTCAGCAGGATCAAATGACTTTATAGAGTTTCGCTGAGCTAGCAGAAGCCCCAGAAATTCGGTTCCGCAGGCTAATTGTAACCCACTGCTTTGCCAACACTAAGATCTCCAACAATGGCCAAAGGAAAAATCCTACAAGCAATCCAACCCAGAAATTCAATGGGATGTCAACCTTGTATGGAATATCCAACTCCAGAGATGGGGGGATAGGAACCTCACGCTGCCCCCGAAGTGCTTCTTGCAAGAGCCACAGAATGGCAGAAGAAAGAGACCCAGTCGCGGCTGACGCAACTAGGGGACGCCCCTCCATCAAGCTGTGAGCCCAAGCTCTGGCGCCGTCCACAAGTCACATGGAAATGCATTAAGTATACAAAAACGTGGAGATGTAGAGCATCGCAGGGTCAAATTTCAACCAGGGCATGCACACATAGACCGCGGAGGTGCATGACAATGTTGAAACGAGAAGCTCGGATGGTTGAAAAATCATCCAAAATGCAGAGGGAATTCATGTTGTTTGACATGTTTCAATTGAAAAGAAACAAAAACGAAACAACATTTTTATTTTCTTTCCCCCAAAACCTTAGCCGATACCCGTAGCCACCACAAACCTCTGCACGCTTTAAACTACAGCTTAGGCACCACATCCAACACTGCTTCAGATAGATCACTTCCTGTCAATGGTTGCTGAGATGTGATAGTGGGATCTTCAGTTTGCAAGATTCATCCTGTTCGAACATGATGATGCGGCAAACCATGGCGATTTTTCATTGTCATTGGTGCAAACCAAATTCAAAACGTGCAACACTCGACATGAAGTTAATTTAGTGTCACCATCTCTCAATCCCGGTGGACCTTTCACCGCTAAAGCTGCAGCATGACGCGTGGCAACTGCAAGGAAGGTTTCCGGAAGCGACCTGGACATAAAGGTTTGGACATTTGAACATGTCAAACACCAACTGTATGACTGACTCCATACACTGGTGGAAAGAACATCAATGCCATGTTCATTTTTCATGTGTGTGTGTGTGTTTCCTTGCACGAATGAAATACACAAATACATTTACATGAATTCAAATCATGAATTTGACACAGTCGCCAACCTGAAAAAGACCATCAATAATGTTCGGTTTCAAAAGTCCCACGGTGCCTGTCACAACGGCCCAAATCATGACCACGATCCACGACGAAGCATTGCGTTACCATTTTCAAACAAATGAGTTCATGCATTCCCTGTTTATATGTTTGCCCTCATTTTAAAACAAGAAAATGTCAAAAGGAAATGGTTCATTTTTCCAAAAACCCTGACTGCATATGATATGCAATAGCCCATTTCATATGAATGAATCCATTTTTTCAATTTTGCCATATTGTGTTTAAACTGCGTGTTTGGACATATCATGTTAAAAATATAATGCTAATTTTTATTTTTTACCCACGCTGATAATGAAAATTCTCTGATGGTCCATTCCACCCATGTTGGTTGTTGCTATGTTGGATGATTTTGCTTGTGCATTGTGTTGAAACTGCTGCGTCCGGGAAAATATCAAAGGGCAATTTTTTTTTGAATATTAAAAAAAAAAAAAATGTTGTTTTCGGTCTGGGGCAGTTTTTCCTGCTACTTGCTGCAATTTGGAGCTGAAATCTCTGATTTGCGTGTTATATTTTGCATTTTGGAACTAAAAACTCGCATTTGCATGCTATTTGCTGGATTTTGAAACTAAAATCTCTCATTTGCATGCTATCTGCGGCATTTCGGAAGTAAAATCGCAAATTTGGGGGGCCAAAAACGCAAATTTGGACGGTCTTTGCAACATTTTGGTTTTCACCCATGTCCCCATGGTTTTCAACGATGTCTGGATGCTTCTCATGGATTTGTTGATGATTTTCAGTGATTTTTCCATGGTTTCAATATTTTGTTAGTGTTTTTGGTGATTTTTGCGATGGTGTTAATCTATTTTTTCGATGGTCATAGCAAAATGACAATACCTATTCTCACATGCAATGCTGTAGGTTCAATATGGTACTCAGGGCATATGCAATGCATAGCATGCACCTTCTGAACATGTAAATTGTAAGTTACGGCACAAGCGCGTTGGGTCTGAATAGTTTCAATGGATGTTAGCATAGTGCTGGCTTAGGATTTACTTAGGGTTTGTTTAGGGTTGATTAAGGGTTGGTTTCGGGTTCATTTAAAGTAGTTTGGGTTGATTTAAGTTTTATTTTGGTGTTGTTTAGGGTCTATTGTCTATTTAGAATTTGTTTCAGGTTGGTTAGGGTTCGAGCAGGGAGTATTTACGGACACAATTTGTACATACAAACTGCTGTGAATGTGTGTATGTATATATATATAATATCTACATGATTATACATGCTATATGAGGGGGGGATTGGGGTTCAGGGGCCCTAGATCTAGACTAAGTCGTTAGAACACTTGTGGTCAACGCGGCGGCGCGCTACACTCTGTTTTCCTGTTTTCCTGCTACGCAAGCAAGTCTGGAGCCACTGAGTGGCGCAGTGGTATATAAATTAAAAGGAACATGTCACCTGTTTGCAAACTGTCTTGCATTGTGTAGACACGTCCCCTAAAGTAAGTTACAAAACAGACACAACTTTTTTTCGTGTCGGAACATGCAGCAAAACTTTTGAACTTGCATAAGGAACGCTCAGCTTATGCTCTGCAGTGAAACGTGTGCGAAGACAAACATGAAAATGCTACTTCTGGCCGTAATAACGACCCGTTCTTTACTGATAATGCCATATACTTGGGATCAATTCATGCCAGGTTTCGGCTAATTTTAACGACCCATCGTACAAGTATAGCCGTACAGCCATAATTCATTCTGACGGCGTTGCCATGACGGCTGGTTAAAATATATGGACTGATCAGGGGTTTGCGGAACAAGGTCGAGCCAGGTTCCGTCGCGGTTTTGAATCCATCTGTCATACGGGACTTGGTATCCCGGCATGTATGCTACTGAGCTGTTGTTTGGATTCTGTCGAAAATATGGCGGTTGAAAATAATTTCCACCGGAATTTCGGTTCGTAGGTGGAGCTGGATCGTTTTGCCACGCTCCGGAATTAAGCCATTGCGCGCCTGTTTGTCTTATCGGTGGTGGCGCCGGTGGTTCTGGCACGTCAGGCACGTCTCAGCGCGAATGCCGGCCAGTGTTAGTCCAAAATGCTCCCTGGGTTGACCGGTTATGGGTTCGGCTCCGGCTCCGGGTTCTGCGTCTCGGAGGATTCTCAGAGCGCTGTCTTCTCTCCTCACGTTCACGCCATGGAGGCGTGCTACCGCGATGGTATCCAGAACTTCGAGCTGGCTCTGGTGTGCGTCTAGGTGATGGAGATTGAGGTGGTGGTCGCGGAGGTGTACGTGGTTGTCTTGGAGAGGAGCGATCTCGGCCGGGATTTCGGCTCGCGGATCTTTCTTTGCTCTGATGTCGAGTATCCGTATTTCGGAATGTATCTCGACGCAGAGGTGGAACTCTGTCGCGTTTCTCGTTCTAGACTTCCCTGTGGTCCTGTCTGTTCTGCATCTACGCGACATTCTTTTCTTGCCACTTTTCTCGGCGCCGTGATTCGGCTTTCTGTTGCCTGATGCGCATATTTTTTAATAACACGCATATTGGCAAACGTCATTAAGCGCGAGTGCCACGTCGCATCAGTTTCGGCTAAGCCGAGATCATAAGTTAATAAATGTTTTGGCTGTTCCACATCTGTCAAAAGAATCTCCGTGTCATAAGCAGGCCCGGGGTAGCAAGTCATACACACTTTGAAACTACATTCCCATGGTATCGTAACGTGGAAAACCTAAAGGTGCGTTTCTTGTTTGGAAACCACAACGCGAGTTTGTTCGGTGACGACTCGGCGATGTTACTAGGGAAATACTATCCCAAGACGGAGGTGCTGTTAAATACGTTAGCAGCACCTTGACGCAACGGGAGGTACAGCCCTTGCTGTCCCACTTCGATGGACACGTCCACCCGCGTGACACCCGGTCAGTACACCCTTACTTGAAACTGGCCAAAATCCTTTCGGCCAGTTTCTCCACGCGAATCCATGTATACGCCGCTACGTTACCATCTTTTCCATGAACAGAATCTTAATCCTGGGTAATACATACCCGTTTCATACTCTCAATCCCTCGGACTTGATATTATGCTCTTCCTTTTGTCTTTTCCTTTAATTGGCCGAGTGCCCGAAAGTCAAGTCAAGGAGGTTGACTCTGGCAGCTTCTTCCGTCCTAATGCATAGAACCGAAGCGCCTTCACTTGCATCCCCCTCAACGACGTCTTCGGGTCACCACGGACCAATCAAGTTCGTCCCTTCTGGATTTCTCGGTCGAAGGAAGTGATTTCATCATTCCTTCTTTCCTCTTCCTTCTGAGCTCTTTGACTTCATCAAAGAGCTCACTTCTGTGAAAAAGCGCCGTGCACAGATCTGCGGTCAGATCCAACGCTTCATCAAAATTCCTACAGGACTACGCAGGCAGACGCGTACGTCAAACACGCACACCAAACACAAGCGCAGAGCGTGTAGTCGCAAACCTAATTAAACTAGCACACTGTCGTGTCAAGAAAACTGTTTCACCCTCGACTCCCACATGCTGACGTCGGACTCCTTCTTTTCGCTCCAGACGCAACACGACCAGTCACAGGGAAACACAAACACAACAAACAAAGAAACAAAGAACAAAACAACAAGGAAAAGGGAAGGTGCTCCCTCTGTCGGTCTGTCTTATGTCAAGTTAAGTGACACAGCGGCTCTTGTTCATTAAATGAACTTCTGACACCACTCCCTTGAGCCGATGTCTCAACTGGTAAACTCGATTCTAGGTTTCCAGTTGACAAACCTCAGGTTCTTCAAATAAAGGTTTGTTGAAACAATTCCAGCTGCTACAAATCTACAAATTCACTTTTCCACTAGGTGAATTCAAAAGGATTGAAACACTTCCAAAAGTTCTCAAAGCAAACTGATTCTCATCCAAACGTGAATAACCAGCTAGCTAACAGGTAACGCTAATATAAGCGTTAGCTTCTCACGAACGAAGTGGTTCACATAAGGTATTCTGTACAACCTTCTTCTGAATACAAAACGTAATCGAAACAAAACGTTCCATCTCCAAGTCAGCTTTCCACATAGAGATAGCATCTCACAGCCTCAAACCTCAATGTAGAACAGAATGTTCTGTTCGACATTCACAATGTAGGTCAGCCAAATACAGTTGTATCGCTGTAGTCTTTCGACCACTGTAATAGCCAATCCACAATGTAAATCAAAGTCGCGGAAGGACAATGTTGTCCTTGCAAGCGATGATCAAAGTTGTCGAAGAACAACGACATTCTTTGAAGCAATAAAAGGCATAATCCAAGATCAAATGTCTGATCTGTAGATCACGATGACGATGATGTAGGCATTGTCCTCACAACACCGAAACATCTCATCACACAAACTCTCAGACAAGTAAGATGAGCAAATATGGTCATTGTCCTCACAATACCAATGCATCTCAATGTCCCAAAACTCAAAGTCTGATATATTCTCTCCATCAGATATTCCAACTAACTCAAACTCTTCTCCAAGAGCTTCCAGCTGTATGTTCTCATCACTTGGAGAGAATAAACTGATCGGTGTCAAAGACACAATGAGAAATCTCAATGTCAAGCCAATGCAGGTATCTTCAGCTCAAGCAATAAGCTGTACCAGATTCATGCAGAATCCAGAATAAGATGTAGAACTGATCACTACACCACATTCCAGGTCAACATCAATCACTGACATCCTAGGTGTCGTAAAAGACTGCAGACTCAAAGACAATAAGATATCATGTCTCAACTACAGGTTCAAAGGACAATAGAATACTGTGACCAAACTGCTGGTCCACTGCACAGATCTCTTCAACAACAAGTAGAGTGTCGTCTACCAATATTCCGTGCATAAACTGTACCACGATGGAGAATGCCATGATGAGGAATGACATGTCGCTAGTCACCCTCACCCATAGGGTGCTCAACTTTCATACCCCCTTTCGACATGTCATCTCATCTCACTACAATATACGGATGTTCAATCCCGTTTCAGTCCAGTGTGGGCAAGGGATTAGAAAATATCTCTGGTCCAGATCACATCCGTGATCAAAAGGGTAGTCAAAGAAGAACACGTCTTCTAAAACAAAAGATAGATGATGGAAGATCATCCAAAACTCATCTCGTTCGACTCATGCACAATGTCGTAAGATCCAAATTCAGAATTCCTCCGTTCAGAGATGAAAGTAAAACTCACGTAACTCCCGTCATGACGATCTTCATGACATATATCGTTGTAAGCACAAATACTCGCAACCAGATGTAGGAATACCAAACTCAGCTCAAAGACTTCAAAGTCTTTCCGGTACCAAATTTGTCTTCCGACTTGCAGCTCTTCGGATAAACCGTCGATAACGATATATCTACAGTGCTGTTGTCATCCTACAACAAACAAAGCAACACAACAAAAAACAGAACAAACACACACACTTGCTCAGAAACATCATTGCGAATTTCTGTTGTGGAATGCATCTCACGTGCACAAACAATTCAGTAAAACCTGACAGGAAAAATTGGTTGACCCAGCGTGAAATTCAGTTAGAAGTGCGGTTACGAACGGGGGCTTCGGGTATGGGTCTTAAGTGCTAGAGCAACCCTTTAGGTCCCCAAGACACCTGCCCAATGACGAAAGCTCCTGTTTCTTGAGCCATGAAAAAAGTCAGAGCACATAGTTGTGCGTGTCATCCTGCAGGGGTCCATGCTGCTTGCATGTGCACAGTGCCAAACGCACTCCCCCTTGGCCACTTTGGCCAATTTCTAAAATCAGCCGGCGCACTCAGTACATGGCCTCCCAGCACAGGCTGAAAGTCCACATAGCCGTCCTATGCGGCCATGTGGCCACATAGTGCCCCCCCTGCTGTCCCTCAGCATGTGTTCACCACGTGGATGTGTAAGAGTAAAGCCACTCCTGTTATCAAAGTTGCAAGCAGTTTGATGGCTTAAGCCATCAAAAACTTGAGCCGCTTTCAAACATCGTGGAGAACACCAGTCCTAAGGGCTTCCTTAGACAAGCCTAAGGTGTTCCATCTTAGTTACTGGAGCAATACCGAACCCTAAGCTTTTAAACGGTGTCTTACCAGGTCCCACCCACCCTCCCAGTCAGCTTGCGCTGCTCATATTTTCCTTTCAGGAAGTGCCAAAGGATTCGAGAACCTTGCCCCAGCGTAAGCAAACGCATATGCAGTAGTGCTGCAGGCTGCGTTCTGAAAACACGTTGGGATGCAGCCCTTTACAGATTGACTTCACCTGGTTGGGTGTTCCTTTTGAACCGTGAAAAAAAGTTGTTTTGTCCCAAATATGAAAAGCAGATTCCTTGCCAAAAGAATAGTTGTGTCATAAACAACTCAGCGTTTGAAATACTGCTTGTAAAAATTCAGGGTGTTCGAATGCAACAAAATGGGATGTAGTTGGCCAAGCACCCGTCTGATCATGTCCTCATCGAGCATGCATTGGTAAAATCGAGCATTGCCCCTGCGGGGCACGTAATCAAGCGTCCTGATTTGCAAATCGGTGACTTACATAAAATCTTGAGCCCCTCCAGAGGCTAACCCATAATGATAGATGGTGCAAACAGATGTAAAACATTGTTGGTGTAGAATAATCGTTATTTCTTAGGGGAGGCAACCGTTGAATCCCGGAAGAAGATATCCCAAAAAATTCGGCAATGGGTTTTGGTGGCAAGAGCATGGGACCCACAGTAGCTAAGGATCAAGTGTTCAAAGTTGTGCATTTTTGGTCGTACAGGGAAAAGAAGCTTGTCGCTTTCCAATGCCCATATGGCCAAACCTTAGTTGGAATATGTTGGAATGTCTTTAACGTGGGAAACCTAACCAGAAACCATTCCCCCAACACTGGAACATTCAGTTTGGTCAAAAAACCACATATATATATGGTGGCAGCTTCAAGAAAAGGTGACTGTTGAACATATCTATCCAAACTCTGTAAGGTTTGAAGGGGAAATAAGCATGTTCCTGGTACCAGAAACTGTTGTAATTTTCCCTGTAGCGGATGTACTCGCGTTCCACGACCATGTTAGCTTCATTTGGCATCAAGCCAGGCCCATGCTCAGCAAAGGTGACCGCGATAGAAGCTAATGCTTCAAAGCAATCTTTCACCCACCTGCAAAAGCAATAAACTATGGGTTGTTCTGCGGGTATTTACAGTAGGTGTTTTTTTTGAAAAAAGGAACTTGGCCTGTTGACATCTGATGGACGGTCTTCGTAAATCTCTCCAGATAGGATCACCGCAAACTGTACCAGAAGGCGGCTTGCCGCTCCATTGAGTTTTTTTTGTCCAACACTTGGATATGCACTAGCCTTCTTTTGCAGTGTGTCTTTCTGAAAGAAAGTCGAACGCGCACGGCTCCCATGTGGGATTCCTGCATGATTTGGCTTTGGTATTGGTATTTTTTTTGAAAAACACAGAAAGAAGGAAAAAACAGAGTTACGACAATTGTGATCCATGCTAGGTTCTGTTGCTGACGCACCATCGCAAATACCGGTCCCAAATCTTCAAAAGCCGCTCGTCCCGCGATCTCCCTTCAAAGATGCTCTGATCTTCGGTCCAGTGCATGAAAGAAGATGCATAAAGGTCAGTGTAGATTGCCAGATCTAATATATGCAGCAAGTCTGGATAGATTCCTTGACACAGAGGCGTGCTTGGGGCCAACATATTTCAATCCTTGCTTATGTAACACATTGGGAAAAGAAACCATATGGGCAACCAGTTCAAAAGTTGCAGCATTTCAGAAAACAGAGCATCTCCAGGGAGTGAAACCTCGAATGGTTGTCAATGGAGATTGTCCATTTACGCGGATAAACTCAGCAGTAGTGACCAACCTGGCACGAGTACCCCAGAACTTTGATTGGGGGAAAAAACATTGGGGGGAAAAACATTGGGGGAAAAACAAAGTCTTGGGGCGGATACGCCATGGCCTATGGTCTGCTGAGAAACTGGGATCGGTAAGCTGCTTCTCGGCCCCAATTGGTGTATAGGAAACCCTGATTTTCATCACTGCAGTTCGCCAAGGCCCCACAAAGAAAGCAACAAGCTGTGTGTCGATAGGATCCTTTGATTGTTTCTTGGTTGAATCCCCCAAAAAAAATTGAAGGGTGTAGCCTGAAGAAATTAGGTGAAAACTGCTGAAACCCAAAAAATATATTGAAGATATACCTTGAGTCTGTTCAGAGTGAAGAGGGCCGCAATAAAATCTTGGTCCCCCTGCACCCCGTCAAAAACAAATCTCAAAGGGCCAGCAATTGGTTGCCCTGCCTTTGCCAGTCTGTCAGGGTAGTAGGTTTCTGTGAACCTCTGGTTCCAAGGGTCTCGATCAGGATGTTGTCCCTTACCTGGGATCTGTGCTGGTACCGACAGTTTGACGTATATACACATAATATAAATATAAAAATAAATGTGTACATATACATGTATAATATGTAAATATATATATATGTACATATACATGTATCAAATAAATATATATATGTGCATATATATATGTGTGTGTACATGTACATGTATAAAATAAGTATATATGTACATATATATATATATATGTGTGTACATATAGATGTTTAATATAAATATCTTATGTACATATACATGTGTCTGTGTAAATCTAAGAATCTAATATTATATAATACAGATACATGTATGTGTATATATATATGTATGCCTTTTTAATAAATATACGTGCAAGATTGCATATATATATATGCGTGTATAAATAAATAAATAAATATAAATATATATATATATCATTCGTGCGTTGTTCAAATATATGTACGTGAAAACAAATGCATATATATATGTATATATATATATATTACATGTGTATATGTATATGTATGTTCAAGGATTGCCATGACAGGGTCCTTACTGCCAACATCAAATGAAATTGACAAGGTAGAGGTATGCTCCCACGATATCAAGGCCAAAACAATTGGGAATAAAACTACGAGCAAACCCCCCAATGTTGTGGAAAGAAGTTTTGATGAGAAACTTCCAGTACGGGATTTTGAGGAGAAACTTCCAGTTATACCCCACAAATGCATGTATAGATTAGCTTTGGGGCGGAAAAAAATAATTCTATTTACACAAAGTTTCGCAGCGCTTCGAAACTCCACGCTAACACTTGTTGTATCAGCCTTCGGGCTTCCGTAGTTGTTTTGTCGCAATTGCGAACACTGCATAAGATACGGTTGTCCAGAGTGCTAGAACTTGCAGACAAAATGGGTAACACAGTCATGATCTCAAAGTGCTGATTTGATTGAGCGTCAGCGCCGTCCCCGTAGATGCGAAGAGGTACGCACAGCGATTTGTCCTAGCCGTGCTGAAAATGGCAGTTCAAGTAAAGACTATAGTTTGTTCGTTTGGTGTCATATCAGTGGGTTTCCCCCACCAAAAAAAAAGTGCAGCCATGAGTCTAAGTCAGGCATCTGCAAGGATTCGAACAGGTCTTCATTTTGGTCCCAGTACCGTTCCAGCATACCAGGCTCCCCGGTAAAGATTGGAAAGAAAATTTCAGGGAATTCAAATAAGGCTGAAATGATGTCGTGCGGGGCCATGACATGCTGCTTGCAATGGGTTGCACCATTGAGAAGAACCTGCTGGTCCGTTCTTTTCACCTTATTCTGACTGGAGAAAAAACAATTGTAATCTTGTTTATCATTTTCGGGAAAACTCCTTTGAAACAAAATTCAAAGAATCCCAAACCAGCTAATCCAACGAGAAGGTTCACAGGCACATAGAACCTGATTGGTTGTTGAGTTCCGCTTCAGAAAATGAGAAATTTTGGATCCCTTGCGCAACAATGTAAACACTCAAAAACACGCAACAAATACTTAAACAGTACTGTGTTTCTAAGGGAGTAGCTCGAAAAAAGTCAGGGGCATAGGCTGCCTCCACGGTTGCCGGGAAATCCAGCCATTAAGGGTCCTTTCCAAGCCCCAGCCACCAGCGCATTCGAAACGTTCGAAAAGATCAAGGATCGGCTTCCTGAGTATGCATGTCAGACATGCCAGGATGGATACATATTTACCCACTTCATTTTACACCTCATTATTTCAACCGTCCAAGCAAACTGAAGAGATAGATCCTTGGCAAACCTTGGATAGCTGGTTCAATAGGTCAACAGATCGATCGATAGTTAGATAGACAGTAAGATATGGTAAGATGTCTATGGCGAGGTGCTTGCATCCTTACATATTTACACAATCTTACATAGATACATGACTACATACCTACATACATACATCCATACATACAGACATTAAAAACACAGCACTACACCGCTGCCCCCTTAGCTTGGCCAAGTTTCGGCACCAGGGAATGATCAAATCTGCAGATGCGGGAGACCAGGTCGCAGATCGAAGTGCAGCTTGCCTCAGATGGATCAAGTTCGGTGGCACTGGCGGGCCTGAAGTGTGCTTTGAACAAATAATTTTGGGAACTGCCCCATGTACCAATCTTCTTTGGAATCACAAAGTTTAAGGTTCCAATTTGAAATTGAATCGAGGTGCTTTACCTTCGGAAAGCTTTTTGAAAAGGTCTGCCACCATCTCGTTGACAGTGCGCTGGTGAAACACATTCGCTAGCCTGGCAATTTGACCCATGCTTGGAAGACAGTCATACTTGTACCATCCTGTATCCAATCTTTTTTGTTTGCTGCACAAACATTGCCGTTCTCAATCGTACATGGTTGAGCATGCACGCATCACGCATTTTCGCGCATCTTGAGGGTCGCCCCAAATGGTCGATTTGCTCTAAACCCCTGCATCATTTTTGATGCCCAGTCAGCTGTAACCTAATCGTGTTGGGAAACACGAACGCCCAGACATGACACCTCGAAGCCACATTGATGCAGCCATTCACATGAATCAGCTGCCGCGCCCCTCACCCGGAAAGCCAGAGTTGCATCCTTCATACGGATCCCATGTCTCCTCCTCGTCCCAACCCTCGCCCCACTCATCATCCTCCATGTCCTCCGGGATAGTAGGGGGGTATTCATCTTCATCATCGACCTCATCATCATGCGGATGCTCCTCCGCCTCCTCATCATTCCCATCATCCTCTCCTGCGTAGTCCAAGGTAGCCTGGGTTTCAAGCTTTGCAACCTTTCCCTTCGACTTTGCCTTTGCTTTGGCCTGAGCGGCCTTCTCCGCATCCTTCTTTTCTTTGTCTCGCTTTCGCTTGACCCCTCAGCAATGCTAGGTTGAGAGGTTCCTGGGTGGAATTGATTTAAAAAAAAAAGGAGGAAATCCCAGTAATTGACTGCTTTGAGGAAGGGACTGCACCAGAAAATGATGGGTAACATTTTGGATAAATGCCAGTAATTGAAAATTTTGAGGAAGGGACTGTTCTTCCAACCCTTGACAGTGGACGCCGCATTGTCCAGGTCATCGATGGCAGCCTTGATTGCGAGAAACTTCATTGGCAATTGCAACTAGTTTGCAATCAGCTGGAATACGTGTGGCATCAAGGGGTCTTGCCTCAATGGTTTTCTCGTTCTTCTTCTTCAGTCCCTGGATGTACTGGGCATCCTTCCCTTTGAAGCTGGAATCTTCCATCCTGCAAGTATTTAATTTCGGAGGTATAAGAATTGCAAGATATTGCAAGTGTGATTTGCAAACTATGCCCATATGGACACTGCACCCCAAGAACAGAGAATCTCCTGTCGGCCAAGGCCCGGAAGAATGTGTGGTGCTGCTCCAAGCACGTTACCATTGCCTCCGTCGTGCCAATTCCAAAACATTTAACAAATGGGAATCTGTTGAAGACAGCAATGGAAGTAGCAATCAAAAGTATTATGATGGCCTCTTGGTGGGGGATCTTCAGAGAGTTGATATCCAGGGCCAGCTCGCGAGCCTTTGACCCTTTGTCTCGAAGCCTTGGGAAACATCAAATTGACAGAAATTAATTAGGGCTGAATTTGCCAAGAAATAATGTCCCCTAACAGACCCTAACAGTTTCAGATGAAGAACGTCTTGATATCTTTCTGTACCCTTTTGTTCTCCTCATCTTCTGCAGTCTTTGGACGGTTTTGGCGGTTGCCTTTGCCCCCGCCCCCTTTTCCACCTCTTCCTGGCTTCTCCTTATGGGTCCCCATGTCAGCGACAAAGCCATCAAGGGCTTCACCCAAAGCCTTCTTCCCTGCCGAGGTATCGATATCACCACCTGCCGATTGGCGAGTTCCAGCTCTGGAGACATCTGCGCCTGATTGGAACGCAGCTGACTGCAATGATTGGTTTTGATCAATAAAGGTAGGTAAAATTAAAGGTGGCATGTATGTATATAAATATACATCTGTAAGTATGTCACATATTGAAATGTCTGTATTTATAAACATGTATGTATGTATATGTATATATATGTGTGTGTGTGTGCTCATACAAAGAACTTCCCTTGAAAGATGGACTTCGCAGGGTTCCAATGGGGGTTCCAAACCATTTGATTGGCCATGGGACTAGAAAAAATCAGGGCCAGAAAAAGGATATCAAAGACCGAAATACATGGTGACTGTACTACACTCTTTGCGGGGTTCATGCCCAGTTGGGCCAAGACACTAGACATCTTGTGCTTCTTGTAGACCTTGAACAGCTTGAAGCGATAGTCATCACAATCAGGAAACTGAGCGGGCTTGGACACAGTGTGGATTCTTGAAAGACTGGGTATGCTACTGCAATTCATGGGTGGGTGATGATGATATTCATTCAGAATGCAGGTGGCTCTAAGATATGGTTATGAAATTAACTTAAATGAATCGATGGAAACCATGGGTACTTGCCCTGCGTTGTATATGAAAAAGATCATACCAGAGCAACCCACCGAGCTGCCACGCTTTGTGCGTCCAAGGTGCTTGGGGATTTGCTTCACCTTTCTGGCCTGGCAATTCTGCGAAGCAGACATTGTGGGGGGCAATTTGGCAGCTTGGCTTGTTCAGTTCGGGTTTCACTGGGTCACGGGCTCGCTTTCACCTTCTCGAGAAATGCCCTTGCATGTCATATGGTTGTGGTTGAAGGAAAGTCTCCATTGCACTTGGACCGATCAGATCAACAAATGTCTGTGTTGATCGGCTAATTTTTCATAGCCAAGAAACTTGCCACCCTCCGTCTTGCCGTATTTCTCCTCCAGTTCAAAAAAAGCAAGCTTCTCGTAGATGTCATCGTTTTTCTTCACGGCTTCCCTGGGCAGATCCCATAGAGTCTATAGCATATGCATAGACGGCATGGAACTTTTCAAGACAAGGCTGAAGACTTAAATGTTGGGCTAGTGACTGAACGAAGAATGCTTCGACTTGAACTTCTGACCTTTGGGGCGGGGCGCAGCCGATAGCCTATGATTTTTTAGCTGCAAGCTGGATGGAAACTTTAAGCGGGAAAAAACTGAGAGATGAACAAATCTTCGTCTATCAGGAATTCCTTTAGCATCTTGAAACGCTCTTTGTTCGAAGACAGGCAAGCTTGGTACTTCTGAAGGAGCCCCGGTTTCAACCCATGCCCGGACTTCATCCTGCGACCCAGTTGGTTGTACAAAGCACGTCTTTTGGCGATAGGTATGTCACTCTGTGCCATGGCCCTGATCTTCTCCTTAGACTCCTCATCCAATGGGCTCACCTGAGAACACAAATGAAGTGGGTGCTGATGAGTCCACATGACTTGGATCAAAATCAGGTATCCGAAGAATGAGCGGTTGACTTAAAAATAAAGACCCAGATCTCTGGTCCCAAAGGCCAAGAAAAATATGTTGATCCATCCCAACAACCCTTTTCCAAAGTGGGTAGCTCAGGAGTTCCCCAGATCCGATTTCCACCAAGGAGCGCGGTATTGCCTTCTATCTGCAGAGGTGGCAACGACTGGCGGAGCCTGTGACTGGACTTTGAATAAATCAAGATCTGGGTGGGTGTTCAAAATGATGCCATGCCTCGACGGGTGATCCTCTTCCAGCCTTACATGTATGATATTCAAGCGACTGCAATCTTGTTCGTATTCTGTCAAAGTTTCCGAACTCAACTTAAGCCAAGGTGCACTGAGGTCTGTGTAGGTTCTCCGCAACCTAAGAACCGGTCAAGCATCGGAAGATTGCTTGGCCGACATCATTCCATCCCATTTCTCCAAGAAGGATTTTGATTCCAGAACCATTCAATGTCATCTAAGAAACGCAGCTCTTTTGGAAGAGGGTGAGCTGGTAGGAGTATCAGTAGACTTGGGCACACCACGCTTCTTTGGCGTCACATACTCCTCGGGCAAGCTGTCTGTGCTCGTCTTGGACCTGAGTCGAATGAGCGACCTGGCATCCTCTGGGATGGTCGCAACCATCTTCTTGGTATCCTGGCAAGCGCAGTGAAAAGGTGAAGTTGTTGGGAGATTGGAATATTAGCCAACAGAACAATGGCAACCCTCAAGCCCTTGTTCAGAAGGGGTTCTAGAGTTTGACAAAGGTCCAAAGCCACAGTGACGATCTTGCATCCATCTGACGAGGGTATATATCCATATACCCAACACAAACATAAAACATCGTGGTTCTCTCCTTCTTTCTGGCCGGCTTCACTTCTTCCTCTTCCTCTTCTTCTACCTTCTTTCTTTTCTTCGACTTGTCACTGCCGGTGTCTGGAGTCTCAGACGCCTCAGGTGTCTCACTCTCTTCCTTGTTTTTCTTTTTCTTGAGACCTGGTGTCTTCCTGGCGCCTGTGTCAGGAATCTCAGAAGCCTCAGGTGTCTCACTCTCTTGCTTGCTTTTCTTTTTCTTGAGACCTGGTGTCTTGTTGGCGACGGCTTCAGGAGTCTCAGAAGCCTCGAGTGTCTCACTGACAGCATGCTTGCTTTTCTTTTTCTTGAGACCTGGTGTCTTGTTGGCGACGGCGTCAGGAGTCTCAGAAGCCTCGGGTGTCTCACTGACAGCATGCTTGCTTTTCCCTTTCTTGAGACCTGGTGTCTTGTTGGCGACGGCGTCAGGAGTCTCAGAAGCCTCGGGTGTCTCACAGACAGCATCCTTGCTTTTCTTTTTCTTGAGACCTGGTGTCTTCTCAGAGCTCTTGCTGCTATCTGGTGTCTTGTTCTTCGTCTTCTCATTGCTCGAGGCATCCTTTGGATCTTCCTCTTTGCTTCTCTTTGGTTTCTTTGCATCTGCCTTGCCTGCGGGTGTTTCTGCCATTTCAGAACATCCGGTTGCTTGCTCTTCCTTGTCCTTCTTCTTCCTTGTCTCTGCAGTCTTCTTTGCATGTCCCTTCCCAACATTCTCGGGGCTGTCTTCAAGCGCTAGAGGTGCTTCTTCTTTCCCTTTGCCCTTACCTTTGCTCTTTATCATGTTGAGAACCCATGCCTTGACGGCATCCTTGCTCTTGCCTTCTCCTTTGCCTTTAGGACGTGCTCTGAGCTTTCCATGCCCAGTATCCTGAGGAAACCCGAACATCAGGGGCAATATCAACAACTTTTTGGACATCCCACCATGACTATACTTGGAGGTGCGGCCCTTCTTATAACTAGTTGCAACGGTTGTTTGAGTTATAAGTTAGCTGAATCTCAAATGCTTCCAGGGCTTCCGTCTATAGGAGCCTGACGAGGGGGTACGTATACATATCCTAAGTGGCCGCGCATGCAAAACATATCTAAAATTCATGTGAAACATACACATTTACGTTTGTGAAACGTATGTGATGCGTATGTGAAGCGCATGTGCAGCGCAAGTGAAAACATATGTGAGCCGTATGTGAAACATATGTGGAAACATATGCGAAACGTATGTGACACATTTACGTATTTTGGGACTGGATTGCGTTGTGTTTATGTTTTACTTATGTATACGTTTGCGAATTTATGTGTTTTTTGATGTCGGAACCAAAATAAAACCTTATTTTGCACAAAAAACATTATTTTGGAACGCGCGTAAAGAAAACATAAAAAGAAACATAAACAGAACGCAAACGAGAACGCAAACACATTGTGTAACGTTTGTGTTTGTACATGTGTATGGTTTATGTTTTTTTATGTCGGGAGAAAAATAAAACCTTATTTTGGGCAAAGAAGACCTTATTTTTTCTCTTACGCAAAAGAAACGCAAACAGAAACATAAAGAAAACAACAAGTAGCCGCAATTTCTGGATATGTCGGAAATATGCGTTTTGTTTGTTTATTTGAAACCGTTTATGATAGACGGGTTCTATTGTGAAAGCCTTTGAAACCCTGCTAAGTTTTAAGTCATGCAATAAACCTGGCAAGTCATGCAATAAGTCTAGCAAGTCAGCCAATAAGTCCAACAACTAAGACTAAATAGGTGTCTCGCTTACTAAGTAAGTGAGACACCTACTTAGTCTTAGTTGTTGGACTTATTGGCTGACTTGCTAGACTTATTGCATGACTTGCCAGGTTTATTGCATGACTTATAACTCAAACCACCGTTGCAATTTGTTTGTTTATTTGAAACCGTTTATGATAGACGGGCTCTATTGTGAAAACCTTTGAAACCCTGCTAAGTCATAAGTCATGCAATAAGCCTGACAAGTCATGCAATAAGTCTAGTAAGTCAGCCAATAAGTCCAACAACTAAGACTAAGTAGGTGTCTCACTTACTTAGTAAGCGAGACACCTATTTAGTCTTAGTTGTTGGACTTATTGGCTGACTTGCTAGACTTATTGCATGACTTGCCAGGCTTATTGCATGACTTAACTCAAACCACCGTTGCAACTAGTTATAAGAAGGGCCGCACCTCCAATAATGCATCATAGTGGCAGGGATATGCTTGACTTATGCTTGGCCATTTGATGCTAACAAGGATCCATATTGGTACCGGACGGTGGGCTCTCAACCCCATCCGAAATGGCTTCAAAATGTGGTGCAAATGCGTGACACGCTTTGTCACGCTCTAAGGGGGTCCTATGAAGGTTTTGTCACGCTATGACACGGTATGACACGCATGCACCAAAACGAATAAAAACAAGAAAAAAGCAAACCATAGTGACAAACCGTGACAAACGGTGACAAAAATGAATACATACGAATACAAAAATGGACGACCAAAGAGTGACAAAGGGTGACAAAGGGTGACAAATGGTGACACATAGGTGGCAACAGGGCGACAAAGGGGACAAAAGAGTGACAAATGGTGACACATGGGTGGCAACAGGGCCACAAGGGTGACAAAAGGGTGACAAATGGTGACACATGGGTGGCAACAGGGCGACAAGGGTGACAAATGGTGACACATAGGTGGCAACAGGGCAACAAAGGTGGCAAAAGAGTGACACATGGTGACATATGGGTGGCAACAGGGCGACAAGGGTGACAAAAGGGTGACAAATGGTGATGCATGGGTGGCAACAGGGCGACAAGGGTGACAAAAGGGTGGCAAATGGTGACACATGGGTGGCAACAGGGCGACAAGGGTGACAAAAGGGTGACAAAAGGGTGACAAAAGGGTGACAAATGGTGACGCGTGGGTGGCAACAGGGCGACAAGGGTGACAAATGGTAACACATAGGTGGCAACAGGGCAACAAAGGTGGCAAAAGAGTGACACATGGTGACATATGGGTGGCAACAGGGCGACAAGGGTGACAAAAGGGTGACAAATGGTGACACATGGGTGGCAACAGGGCAACAAGGGTGACAAAAGGGTGATAAAACCAAAGCAGGAATTTGATCCTGAAGAAGCAATCTTCCCCCAGATTGCAGCCCTGGTGACTCAGCAAGCCTCGATCTCTTCCTAGGTGGTTCGTCACTGCCATTCGAAGATGCCATGGTGCCTGGCTTGGTGGATCAAAGGTTGACGAAAATAATATTTTATATAAGCAACTGGTTCTGGAACTTCCAGTTTAAAGGTTTTAGGGGCCAGTGATTTGAAACCATCAAAAGAAAGATTGTTTATTTCACATTGGGCTTGAAAGCACCTTGCCGCTTTTTTTGATTTTGGCAGAGAGCGCACAGTTGCACTGCTGTGAGTGCTTCCCCCTTGAAGGCAAACGTAGCCAATCCCCCAAGTGATCATACTCTTTACTTTTCCTGGGTGAGCCATTACCTGCACAGGTTGTCCATATCTTTTTAGAAGAATACATTGTGAAGGCAGATGATCACTCTGAGTCGCTACCTTCTGGTATCAAAAGGTCACCTAGCTCCGAATCGGATGAGCAAGCATCAACATCTTTAAAGGAAAGGTTGCGGTCGCTCAAGATAGTCTCTTCCTTCAGGGTCTTCATGTTCTTGCTGAAGAGTCCACTTACCTCAGCCCGTGGCAGCACGTGCTGTTTCGGCGCTTTTGTTTGAAAAATGGACCTATTAATTGAGAAGGATTTTCTCAAACCAAACGGAAACTTGGTACCCAGAGACCTTTCCAATGGAAAGGTAAAGCAAAGAAAATGCAGGGAATGGTGGTTCACATATCTTTTATTCAAAGATCATTTCGAAGCAAAGCTTCCCCATGTTTTGAACTAAGACGCTGTGTAGCAGAACTGCCACGGGTATGTCTGTGAAGCAGTCAGGGACCGAGATCCGACCTAAGGAAAGGAAATTGCACATCGGGATGCGCCGCCTACACTGCTGAGATGCTCGATGCATTTCTGTTTTGGCAACTTGGCTTAAAAGCTCAGCTGCATGGTAACTTTCTGTTCTGGTGGGTTCCTGTTTTCTGACACTGCCAGCTGACCCATTTTTTTTCAAAAGCATAGCCAACGACTTTAGAGGCCTACCAAAAAGGATAACTGGAAGCTTGAGAACATTGAGGGTCCAACCACCCTGGCCCTGCCAGTACCATCGCGGTACTTACGAACCATCTTGATTTGCTTCATGCGCTGGATTTTGAACAAGAGTCGCCTGGAACAGGGTATTGGGAAACCATGGTTCACCTATAGATTTTGCACCATGGGAGCCAAGAAACATTGAAACAAGTTTGATCTCATAGTCATGAATCAGAGACATTGACACAATTCTGAACTGTCATGTGGTTCCGCTACAGCTAGCTGAAAGACTTTAAATTTTGAACCCCCTGTGAATTAAGGGGATGAGGTTGTGCAACCGTTTTGTAGTGAAGAAACGGTTTGCATAGCCTCAAACTCTACTAAATGGATGTGCATGCATGATCGAATTTCACTAGACATGTCAAAAGATCCTCCTACCATGTTGTGCATGTCAACTCTCGTTTACGGAAAATTGACGACGTTTTCTGGTCCCCTCAAGATTCTCTTCTAAATGGTTTCTAGAAAATTCACACTAAAGTTTTGGTTCACTTTCCGGGACCTAGGTCATAGCATTTAGTAGTGGAAATCCACTGGGGGATACATTTTGATTTTAACAAGTGACCTGGATAGCCCTTTTTTGTACCTAAAACCTTTCATCTAGGTCACTTGTTGAAACTGTCCTTCTGATTTCTAAACTACCTTGTTTACCAGGACTGACATGTATGAAGCCACCCGCCTCCGTTCCGCCGTCATAGATGGACATGGCAAATTGTCCATCCATTTTGCCGTACTTATCAACACCGTCCTCTTCCTAGAATTCGACGAATGAATGCGTGATTGTAAATCCGTGTGACCATGCGTGCCTTGCTATGGGATTCAAATTGTGCAATTGTCCATCCATTTTGCCGTACTTATCAACACCGTCCTTCCTAGAATTCGACGAACGAATGCGTAATTGTAAATCCGTGTGACCATGCGTGCCCAGCTATGGGATTGAACTTGTGCACCTCCACACCCCTAAAAAAACCAAGATTCTCTGAGCTGTGTCCATGCATTCCAAGAGGAAGGAAAAAAAAATTGGCTTTGTGCCGGCGAATCATCTCCTGCATGCGCGGGCAATGAAAAACACAGAGGGGCTAGGTAGAGATTTAGCAGCAGCTCACTAAAGCTGGAATGGCAACCACCTGCCTCAAATGGTCGATACAAGGGAAGGAGTGAACTGGAAGGTTGCTCAATGCACCATTCAATCCCCTTCGTATGGGCATATTCCATCCTTAGCCCGTCTGAGCTAAGCTCTACAACATGCCCTGCTTGGAAGAGCACCCACACAAACATCATGGGAGTTTGTGAAGACTGAACACCATCTAGAATAATTCCTCCAAGAAACACATAAAGCAAACGTCGAACCATCCTGTTGGTTTCCCTCACTTTCCGAAGGCGCTTCTTGCCCCTCAGGCGTAGTGAACTGCGAAAAGTGCTGCCGCGGGAAAGCCATATAAAAGACGAGCATGGGATTCCCAGCCAAAGAAAGCCACCTGCGATTACTCGCCGAATGGCCTGGAATGTCGAAAGTAAGCCGGTAGATGTTGAAAGGTCATGATGGCGAGAATATCTCACCTTGGCTAGCACGTGGCTCCTGCAAGATCACTGATGAAACTTAAGGAAAAGGTTGTGCCCTAGGAGAGATTAGCACTGAGTGGCATCCATCGCATGCGCAAACAAGCCGTACTCCAGCATGCAATCGGTCATTCGGTGTGACCCAGCGCACAGCTCCAGGAAGTGGAGCCTTTCATCGTGCGATGGCTCCCCAAGTCCTGAGTAAGCAAGGGCCCTACCAGCTAGTAAAAGGAACATTTGCACTTTTTTAAAGCGACATATGACACATATTTTATTTTTTGCATGTTCCAAAATAGTATATACATATATAATCATATATATTTTTTAGTCTGTGTGTGTATGTGTGTAATGTATGCGTGTAAAACATTGTGCCCACTCAAAGCTGAAGAATTTGGAGGTGACAAAATCTTTCTAAAATCACATCAAATGACCTTGGATCAAAGCCAAAATGATTGGCGCGATCAGGCTATACTTCATGGCTTTGGATACAAGGGGCGGAAAAGGGACAAGTATGGCTATGGGCTATATATGGCCATGTTGTTTTGTTTTCCCCGCACATCTGCATTGCGCATTGCCTCAGGATTCGAAGTCAAAGACGGCTGGGCGCAAAGACTTGGCAGCTTTGGGCGCAACGGATGAAAACCCAACTTGGAGTTTTAAGTCAAAACCTAGCACATGGAACATCATGATCTACATAAGATCGTGGTTTACCAGGCGCTATATAATATACTCAGTCTGGAATTTGTGATTGGCCTAAATTTGAATTCATAAGTTCAACTCCGGTGCAGGGGTAGCATTTCGATACCCAGAAGGGCAATGCAGAATGATCATATGTTTAAATTCAGCAGTTCGGGTTTCCCAATCAATATGCCACGTGATCCGTTACCCCGAAAATCTTCTCAAGAAGTGTCGGGTTGCATACTTTCACCCCCCGATGTCAGAGCGCAATTTGCCCTCAAAGGCGCTGGCTTGTTTCGAAGCTAAGTTCCTAGCATCCCAACCAAGCATAGCCATTTGCAATGCTTGCGGCAACCCCTAAAATTGGCAACTCTGGCAGACCAGATTTGACGAAGTGTGGTTTTGCACACCGTACATATATGGTCAAGCAACTGGCTTAACCCAAGCCCCAATGTTGAGGCGTCCCCAAAAAGAAGCTCATAGTTTCGACTTTGGTGGCCACTTCCATGTGACATATTATTGAACCTATTTTGGTTATGAGAATATACACATGTATGCTACCCTCAAAACTATTGTTCCCAGATAAACATACCGGTATTTGGAAGTCAAATGGCCGTCATCTTAGAACCTAATACCTGCGGCGTTTGATTTCCGAAGGGGTCATGCCTTCCAAAATGGCAGACCTCTCAGCACTTGCTTTCCAAAGGATCTCAATGGCACGCCAGCGAATGCTGGGATCATCCTTCTTGCACCTCAGCAGCCATTGCAGCGGGGAAGAAGGAAGGTTGATTCCTAATCTATTCGTTCTCATGTGGGGGAAAAATGGAAAATGTGGTTTATCAAATCTTTGGAGAGTAACGCTTCAGCGAAGGCTTTTTTGGCATCCCCATACGCAGTCTGACCATGGTTGGAGGGCTTCTCCTTCGACTGAACCTTGCCCTTTTTTTTGGTGTCAGCCTTCTTGGAAGCCGTGGGTTTGTTCTTCTTGGCAACGCGCTTTGGAACCTTTTTGGCACCCTCCGAACCTTTGGATCCATCCTCAGCAGCTGGGACTTGCAATTTTTGAATTGAAGGCAGTTACACCTGGATAGTTACGTCAAAACGATCTGCAGATAAATGTTCAAGGAAGGAAGATGGAAAAGACTCAAATAGCTACAGATAACTCAGAAAATGAAATTGAAGTCAAAGATCTCCATCAGCACAACCTTTTCCTTTGGCCTTCGCGTTTGCTTCCTCTCTTTTCTTGGCAGCTAACTGGATCTTAGCAAAAGGTGTGACCACCGGCGGTGACCTTGGCTTCTTTGGCGAAGGTGTGATAGTTTCATCAGCCTGGCAATGGGTGGAAGCCAGAGTTTCGGACATCATGTTTTGGGGCCATGGCTGCTAGTACATGGATGAATGCACTTGGCTTGTTCGTAAAAAAAAGGATTTGGAGCTGTGTGCCTCGAGCCCTGACTCCAAATGTGGTCTGCGAAACAGATAAAGTTCACCAGGGGCATTGGTGGGCACCACAGACTTAATTTCAGATCGCTTCAGATCCTGGGTTCCCCACTGTCCCCATCAACTGTTTGAAGAACAATCAGAACGTATCAACAGGTTGGAACTGAAAATCGAATTTAAATCAAGAAAGAGCACGTATAGGCAGTCCTTGTGCACGGTGTGTGGTTCCAGGGCACCTTTGCCATCCCAATCACCTGAGCTAATGGGTGAAGAAGGGAACTATGCCGCAGTTGTAGTTCCAACTTGTATATATTGATTCAAGTGACCCGACCATTCTCCTGCCCATTCTGGATTGGTCACCAAATGGTAGCCCCACATCTCTTCATCATCCTAGGCAAGTTGTCAGACAAACATCTTCACTTCCGTTACTTTTTGTTGTTGATTTCAACTGGTTGAAGGCTGAAAGATCCCGGCCTCATCCGTTTCACCCAAGCGCAGAGTTTTTGCCCGCAGCAATACCTTAAACAGAAATGCAAAAGTGTCACCAAAAGACTACCAACTATATCTCGTTTTCTGCACAGCCCCAAAAATATGAGTCCAAATGAATCCAAGGTACCTGGTCCGCTGGATCGAGCAGCTCCGCTTCTCCACTGGCATCTTCAGCCCCTGAGCCTGCATTGAGAAGGTTGGAGGGGAATTTGAATTGCAAGGTAGAAGCTTCCTAAATGTTTACCCCGGATGAATAACCCCCCCAACTCGTTGATAGGGTTATACTTTGATAAACCCCTGTATATATAAAATAAATCAGGATTCTGGGGCCTGGGTTTTAATTTTGGAGGGTTTCTGGGTGTTAAAACTGGTTTTTGAATGGTGCAGGATACATATCAAAACGGTGTTGGCTCAGCAGTATTCGTTAGTGGTGTTTTATCCAATTCTGCTCTGGTTTACATATGCGTGGTTTATTCAGGCTACCCCCGTCCAGCTCGACCCAGGTCCTCCTAAGTCTGCCCAGGTCAATCCCAACTTGCAGGTTCTCCCAGGTTCTCCCAGGTTTTCCCAGGTTCTCCCAGGTTCTCCTAGGTTCTCCCAGGTTCTCCCAGGAAATTAGTGATTTCCTGCGATTCTATGGGTTTCCGGGATTTCCTGGGAGAACCTGGGTGTTATTTTCTGCGATTTTGTGGGGTTTCCGGAAGCTGGGTGTTATTTTCTGTGTTTTTGTTGGTTTCCGGGATTTCCTGGGAGAACCTGGGTGTTATTTTCTGCGTTTTTGTGGAGTTTCCGGGATTTCCTGGGAGAACCTGGGTGGAAGTTGGGGATGGGCCTGGGAGAGCTGCAAGAGTTAGTTCGGGGAAAAGTGGCTGGAGGGTGGCCCGCTATTTTGACCTGCAATTTCTAAATTTCTGCCGCAGGCGTTGCCGCCCCCTTTGGCCTGCAGGTTTGCCACGCTTTAAAATTTAGTTATAAGGATTGCAGGGGTATAGCAAGTTATACTATGTTATACTTATTTTATTTTAAAGAAAGATCATCGTTATTTTGGGTGTCATCGCCCTCGCTATCATTCAGGGTCTATTCATCCGGGGTTGGAATTAGCAGCAGCCAATCTTAGCACCATCTAATTTTGACTGGAATGTGGAAAAAAACAGCTTGCAATTCAAAACCGCCTCCACCCATCTCTTGGTCATGACCGCAAGAATCTTGGAAGGAACCTAGCGCATGGATCTGGATTGATTAGGGAAGCATGGGTTCAAAATTGTTCGGAAGTAACAAAAAATTGAATATGGAACCAGGCCTACATAAATTTCCCACAAGCTCTCCAGGTCCATGTAAGCACCATTGGCACATAGCTCATCCCCTCGGTTTCCCATAGGCCCGTTTCAGCACATGGTGGATATTAGGACAAATTGTGCTTGGTCATGTTTGGTCTAATTTACCGGTGAAAGTAGACAGCCGAGTTGCAATTGGTGCAGAGCCACTGGTAAAAATCTTCATTCCAAGATTCGCCGCTAAAGGGCTTTGAGGCATCTGCCGGGCCCCCTCGGATGGGCAGCTATCACAACATGTTGTTTAAAAACGGAAAATTATACATCCCAGGATCCATTTTTTATATATGGGAAAATTGACCAAAAAACAAAAAGGTGGACGTACACTGGTTCTAGATCACTGGTTCCAGAACACCACATATGTGAACCCAGATACAATCATCGGACTGCAGAGCACCAGCGCCATCGGAATCCAAAGTCGGTCCTGAGGGTTTCATGTGAGAGCACTGCAGGATTCTGGCCAACATTCAATGGACGGCCTCTGAAACATTGTATAACAAAATTCAGGGCTCGGGCTGTATATCAGGGTACAACCTATCATTGATGCTGGAAAGAATCTTGATGGTGCAAAAGCAGAAGTGGATGCACCAGCATATGCACTGTAGGCCCAATCAGCGTATGCCTTCATGTCCGCAGGCAACTCATCATAGTAGGGATCCGACCACTGGCCTTGGACCCGACACACCATTCCAAACAAAAATGCGGTTTGCAGTTCCGACAAACCAGAAATAAACATGCCATGCAAACCAGTTCAAAAGGTTCAGAATACCAAATAACGGTGTTGTTAACTACATGAATGGTCTCTTAAAGGGCAAAATGTGAACATCATTACTGATACGGATGATATGGGGTTGTGGAAAATCAGTTGAAACACACGCATTTTGTCACTGGTTTTAACTAGAGACCTTTGTTGGAGCGAGTCACTAGTGTCATGGCCCCCTGGATTGGTCTCGTCCAAGGCATCGTCGAAGTCCAATTGCTTCGGATTCACCTGCAATCCAAGGCTATCATGGATCATCGGAGACGTGGATTGCTGATGAATCTGGCTTGGTTTACTGGCTCTATCAGATCACAACATCGAGCTGGGTACTTGCACCTTGCCTCAATATCAGCAGGTTTTTCGGGATTGAACGGGAGCCAGTCAGGGTTCAACTTCCAGTTGCGCTTCTTCGGAATCGCTGCCGGAGGTGGCATATCCTCACAATCTGGGGGTCAATGAGGGTCTCCACATCATCTGTTTGTTTAGAACTTTACCCAGAAGTGGCAACAGTTTGAAGAAAACTAATGCAGCCAAATTTCATTCACAGGGTCTTCTGGCTTGTCGGCAGAAACCTCCGAAGAATCCAGCTGAACGTCCTGGAAAGCAATGGGAAGTCGGGTTGACGTGGGTATTGATAAATCGTTGGGTTGGGTGCCTTTTTGGAGTCGAAAAAATTGTGCCATGCATCCCACCAAACTTGCCATTTTGAGATATATCCCATGTTAAGATAGACCCAAGATCACGATCAAATCAAAAACGGAAAACAAAATTTGATTACCATGGGTTTCTGAAAACAAACTGTCCTGGGCCAGCCAGAAATCTTCGGCTTCCATAGGCACCGTGTCAACAGTGTCCATAGTTGACATGGCTTTTGATTGAACCCTGTTCGAAAGTTTCCTTTTTCGGGCCACCTTGAGAAGGTATTGCATGCGTTTTGCTTCACACAACCGCTGCTCCTCTCCAAGTTTCTCCATGGAAAATTTATTGCGCAGGGATGCCACCACTTGAAGAGCTAGTTTCAAGGTCAATACCCTCCCTTCACCGACATATTGTCGAATCCATCCAGAAAAAAGTTGTTTGATGATTTTCCTCTTCAGGGTACCAACGGGCAAAATACGGTTAGTGGACACCATCCTTTCCATGTGGCCCTTGGACTTCAAACGGTTCGCCATCTTCTTCACTATCCAATCAACATGTGTTTGCCTCAACTGGTTTTGTCGGCGAAGTCGAGACGGCATGGCCAGCAGCTAGCGCCCCTAGCAGAAACCAATCTGGTTCTGTTCATTTTTTACACCTAAAAACAAGTGTGTGTGTATATATAAATGTATATAGGTATATATTTATATATGCAGGATATATATATATATATGTATATGTATATAAATTATATATATATATATGTGATTTATGTTTATATATATATATATGTATAAATCAAGAACCATTGTCGAAATCGATTGCTCGAGCTTTTACACTGAGGGCCCACAAAACATGACACACTATCCCCTAAGCCACAACCATACTCACACGCTGCGGCCACCACCGGCCCTGCCTTCAACCCTGACCCCAAGGCATGGCCAAAGACGCCGGCATTGGGAACTTCAAAAGAAAATGGAAAATGAGTGGGAGTGTTTCCGAACACCTGGTGCGGAAGGTATGATGAAAAATTATACGGCGAAGGTATCACCATCCATGATAATAAGGGAAAATTTGGGGAAATATAGTCACCGTATAATCGTAATAGTTTGATTTGGATGATGGGAATATCAGCGGCCGTCTGGATGGCCCTTTAAGATGAGGAACTGCCACTTTTCTTTGACGATCTGAACCACGACTTTTGTTTGGCGGGCGCGGGATGGGCGCATGACAACACCACAATCGCAAATTCATGGTTCCCATTGTTTCTTCTTTTGCGGGATTCTCACAGTGAGATGTTTCCATCCAGGGAAAAAAGGTGTGCACATGCACACAAACCTTTGCATGCCCATATGTCTTGTAATGTCTTGTAGGCCCTCCAAAACATAAAAAACTATGTATGTATGTGTGTATATGTATACATTTAAATAAATAAATAAATAAAAATAAATAGATATATAAATATATAATATATATAGATGTAATATACTCATGTTTTTTCCCAAAAAAATGCTAACAAATTCCAAGTCAGGGTATCTACCAGCTACATTCTCCCTTATGATTGGTTGGATCGGACATGAGGACCACGAACCTGAATGCACAAGTTTTTGATATTACATGCGATGCGCATGCGCGGGTCAAGATGACTTGCAAAGCACCAGCGCACTGCAAGTAATGACAGCCCGGCTGCAAATAAACGTGCAAGCTTTGCAGTCTAACCGGGCGGGTGGGAAAATGTACTATAAGGCTTTAAGTGCTCAAGACTTTGCAAAGTGCTGCGCCTGCCCTGCGTGTGCAAGGCAATGTAAAAATAGCAACCCAGCAGCAAATCAACGTGCAAGTTCTTCAGTGTAGGTGGGTGGGTGGGGAGGACGCTTCAAGTACACTACGGCTCAAGTGCTCAAGACAGCTTTGCAAAGTGGTGCACCTCACCTGCGCATGGCTTGAAGCGCAATCCAACGGCCAATCCAAGTGCAAGTGTTGCAGTTGAATGGGGTAGGCGGGCTTGAAAAAACGCAAACTTCATGCTTGCCACGGACAAAGTAGCATGCTTTGCAAGGCCACATGCCCAGTACTTGGAGGAAGGGGTCCTATGTGGCCATTTGGGGGTCCTATGTGACAAGTGCCTGAAGGGGTACTATGAGGGCGTTCAACCTGCGCTGGAAGGGCCTTTTTGTTGAGCGTATCCCGCATGATCAGACCCATTTGATCCCAGGAATGTGCGAATGGTTTTGGGCTCGGACAGCTCGTTCACAGCAATCCTGGAAGATGGAGAAGTGGTTGCCTGGGGAAATCCCAATAGCCGCCTGATCAGCTACAATCATGAACGGATGAGGACTCTGTGCCAAACTTTCGATGACGCGTAATATGTTTGAACCATGTCTCCAAAATGAGGGAGTATATATATAATATATATATATATATATTTATTATTTATAATATAATATATAATATACAATTATATAAATATAGATGGATGTATTTGCACAAGAGATTCAACTTGGGTTGGGGGCACCCGTTGCGATGCGACGGAATTATATAGTTTCTTGACTAGAAGAATATAGAATAAGATTGAAACACAACATGTGAGTCTTCATCACAATTTGGGTGGCTGACTGGGTCCACATCAACAATTTGTGGGGAGATGTCTGAAAATGGCTTATGAAGAATTGATAGAGAATGGTTAGTTTATCATTGTTTTCCCATTTGTTTCTGGTTAGCACAGTTCAATGCTTCAAGATAAAAACTGGTTCACCCACACTTTCCCCCTCAATTAAATATCTGTTTAATGGTTTTCTTGATTTATAATTCAAAATCTCCATACTTTCTGGGTATAATCAATTCCATCCATTTCACACGATGTATGGTTATGTATATATATAGTTATATATATATAGTTAAATATATATATATATACATGTATGTATCATATCCCAGTGATATCCCCTCCTAAATTGCAACAGGTCCCTTCTTCGCCCGCCACGTCTTCGCCTCAAAAGGACGGTGCAACAAATCCGGGCCTCGGACTACGCCTTCGCCGCGGTGCTGTCGGACCAGAGCGTCATCACCTGGGGCCATCACTCCTTCGGCGGCAACAGCAGTCGCTGGCAGGGGGTTTAACCATGAGAGCCATAGGGGTATGGATTATACATTCCATACATTGCGATCCGAAGATATGAAAACCTTAAGAATATCTATATATATATATATGTGGGTATGGATCAATACCTATTAATACCATTTTTAGGGGGATGAACATCCATAAATCCCAGCTATTTTGATGTGAACAGAAGGGGTACTATTGGTTTTGACACACTGCCATAAAGCCAGCTTAAAATCTCTGTGAGGTCATGGGGATATCATGGTATATGATTGATATATTGGGTATATATATATATATACATATAAGTTGATATAATTTGAATCCACCAGAATATACAAGATATATTGAATATTATTGATGTACTGGGGATATGACCAACAGTACACCGAAATCCCCTGGTTTATGACATGGGCAAAATGCCCCATCACATGCTGGAAACAATGGACCCCACTTTCGCAGGTCCATGCCTGGACCCAAGTTTTGAGCCATAGCTATGTATCTCTCTATATATATATAATATATATATATATATGATTTCGTGTCATATAGTGTGTGTACATACATAATTATATATATATATACAGTGTTGTATGGTAGTATATAGTAGTAGTAAAAATATGTAAAAAAATAGCAAGACTTTGTTTGACTTGGGTTTTAGTATGTTTTAATGAACATCTTTTGTGACCTGGGACTCTGGGACGTGGCCTTTTTCGTCCTTCAAAAAAGGTTCCGTCCAAGACCAGTTGAAGAACGTCTTGGACGTGGTCTCCTCTCAACGAGCTTTTGCTGCCATGAAAAGCGACGGTTCAGTGGTCACCTGGGGCGATCCCAACAGCGGAGGTGACAGCAGCAAAGTTCAACATCAATTGAGACGGGTGCAGAAGGCTCCCGGAGGGCAAACAATTGCGATCCGAAGATATGAGAATCTTAAGAATATCTATATATATAATTATATATAATATATATATATATATATACATTTGTGTAATGTATATATATGTGTGTGTGTGTGTTGAACTGGTAAATCAGACACAGGTTCCGGCAGGCCAGCTTGAAGCTGGTTGTCCTTTCGTTTCTCCCATAGCCTGAGTTGGTGATTCCATGCTGCGCACTCTGCAGAAGGTGCAAGAAACTTCATGGATGGAGTGGCGTTAGAATCAGTTGGTATGGTATATGTAACTGACACATATATATATGTATATATATATATGTATATATATATGTATATATATATATATATGTATATGTATATATATATATATGTACCTGGCAAACCGAAAGTATGCAGAATTTTAGTCATTTCGGGAAAAACCATGTTTTTCCAAATAATGACTTTTTTTTGGTTATACCCACCAAAAGATTACCTTTTTTGATATATAGCTATTTTGGGATGATCTGCATACTTTCTGTTGACCAGGCTGGTTTATTATGGTTCATTATTGGTAACATCCATCCATCTTGGGTCCAATGCCTTGATGTGAGCCTTCGGGCTCAATGTGGCTCAGCAGAGCCAAGCCCCATTGGGGGACCATGCGTTGAGAAGGTGCCACCCTCCCTTTGCATCTTGTTGATGCTGTTTCTTAGCAACTTCAAGTTGATATGGGTCAAAGCCAATAAAAACACGATCTATATCTACTTTGGGTTGCTCTATATTTGACCCATATCAATAGAAATCTTGCTGTGACCTGGGTAGCGTTTTGGTTCATCTCAAGGGGATCCTAATAGCTAACCGCTTAGAACCATGGCCGACCTCATTGTCCAATGTTCCTTCGATGCCATCGAGACCATTCAGAAAGAAGGCTGGAAAGCAAGTCTATAATCTGGGTTTATAGGATAGATCAGCTCAAGTGCTTTTGGATGAAGATACATGGAATGCATTCGGAACTCTCAACTTATCACATTTGAAAGAAGGCATGTTTGATTTAAACATTGGTATTCCTGGCTCATCTCACACCACACCCCCGGAGCCGCAAGGCCTTGGAGATGTACACAACTTTTTCTGGGACTTGTGCAAGGAAGCGTTGTTCTCGCCAAGTGATGAAACTTATCAGCAACCCATGGTTGCGCTACACAGCCCTACAACACAGCCCAGCAAGTTAATTAACATGGGTCAGTGGTCTACCTTTCCCCTTCTCCATTCTCAGGACGCACCTAGCCCGGATGAATTCCTCCACTTGGTTGTCACCAACATCCACGCTGGCGGTATTTGCCGTGATCTTTTCAACAAGGACGGATGTGTGGCTATATTATAGGATCCATGCCATGATTTTATGTTGATATATGGCTTAAGATATCTGACATGTCTCATAAAGTTAAACATGGAACGTGTATAGCATCAAGTCCGGTTGCTTGGCATTGCCCTGAGAATTTCATCTCACTCTCACCATTCCTGGCCTTGCGCCAGGAGAAGCAACGGGCCTCCCAGAAAGAGGCAAAGCGTCGGGATGATGCCCACCAGGAGATTCAGGAGAAGAGTTTTGTCAAGCAATGGTGTAACCCAAAGGTTTTGTAGAAATACCATCTTTTTTCACTTGCAATCAACACCAAATAAATCCACATAATCTTATTGTTCAGATCGGTCCCAATGATTATCATCATTTTTTATGATTGATGATATGGTGGTTTGATTTCCTCATCGCAATCATTTGAAATAACTTTCAATTACACAGTCATACCACCAAATTTGAATCCTTTGACTTTGGGGTTCTCAAGGAAAACCGACATGGTGGACAAGTGATCCAAACAGTGGAGCTGCTGGGAAATTATTTGTTTTCCGACTTCAGGGGGTTGTACCAAACTCCCCCTGTACTTTCATTTTTGAATAGCGGCGATGTGGGGTGCCTAGCAGCTACATGCCTTGATGTGTGCATCTTGGCTGAGAATCAGCTGCACCCCCAACTTCTTTTGAGAGAATCAGATTTGGACATAGCTGCTTACTACCGGCTTTGGGGTCACAGGTACTAGAAATCATTAGAAATCACAAATGTCGATATGAGGTGAAAAAAGATGTCCTAAAGCTTGTCTTGACTGCCATCAACCATCCCAAGCATGAATGAACAACAATTGCAAGTTGAATCATTTTTTGTGGTGTGCCCCTTGCGCAGGTCATGCCATGCTGAGCGGACTTGACTTTGCGAAAGGCTTGGATCGCAAGGGTTTGTTTCCTGTTGAACCATGGTGAAACAAGAGGCAATAATGTAATGATAAAAAACAAGACTGGAGAAACAAGCAAAAGTATATACCCTTTAGACAATTGAAGAATTGATTTCAAAGATAGTATACTGTATATATTATATAATTTGGTAACCCTTATGCAGTATGTAGGTCGGTCCAATCACCCTCCATCTCTCCAGGCTGCTGCTGCTTGCTGTTACGTGCTGGATGTAGCCACTTTCCAGGCCCATTGCCAGCTGGCTTAGGGGTGGATCTTGTTGGTTCTCCATCAATAAGGTGGTTTTCATCAATCATTTATATATATATATATTATATGTTAATATAATATATTATATTTTAATATATAATATAAATACATATATATTATTTCAAAATGAGTGATGAAAACCACCTTATTGATGGAAAAAAAATTAAGCCGATGGAAAACTGAGACAACTAACCAATATTTATGTTATGAGAACTTGCATGAATTCACACAAGGGGTTTCCATCGCATATGTTGGCTGCCAAGTTTGAAGTTGCCCCCCATTGATTTGGAATTAACCGAACTATGATCATATATTGGAGGGTTGGTATGAAATATGATTTATGTTTGAACTATATATGTTTGGGGTCTACCATCCATCAAGTCGCAATCCTGGAACCGCAGGAATTTGAGAGGGTTCAAACTTGCTGTTGCCCCAGGCTAGGCTTTCAGCATGGCACACCCACCACAGCCTGATGCGCCTGAGAATCATATGGATGATTTCGAGGATGAAGATGAAGCCAGCAACAAGCCATGGCCACCTAGGCATGCGTTGGCGGCACTTTGGGAAGAGGATGTGGTCATTAGGAAAACCCTGAGGGACAATGGCAAAATGTTGACATGGCCCAAGAAGGCGTTAACCGGAATTGCTACTCTCTCCGCTTTGTCCCAGAACCGAGCTGCCATCAATGATGCTCTCACAATTTGGGCTAGCCACGAAACCACCCCCAAGAGCCCACCCGTTGAATGGCTGAAGGATGAGGTGTGTGATGTCCAAACTTTGTTTTCTATATCGGATGGTTTTGTTATTGGAAGATTTCTTGAACAAATCATTTCTGTTGTATCCAATTTGTTTGGAAACATATGGAAAAAATCACAAACCAAAACCGACATAGTAGCAAAAACACAGGTGAAGCAGCTCTACGTCCTGGTGAATGTCGAGGTCAAACCTGTCAACCTCTACCTTGATGCTCGGGGGGTCAAATGGATGATTTCCCTGTGCTTGAGGCGGTGGAGGTCCCCCATCAATAACTTCAGGGACTCTTGGATCAACATCAAGGTTTTCCCCTACGACCCACAAGTTTTAGTGTGTTTTTTTCAGGGTTCAGACAGTTCAGACATGAAAACAAGTTATGATAATGGTTTACCATGAATGATCTCCAAGTCGAAAACCATATGCTTGGATTCAGGATCCTCTTCTCCATGGATTGATGGACACCATGACTGACCATTGGGGAGGGACACCACCGCCGGCCCAGCCAGCCATCGATGACGAGCAACGAGCAGCAGCTGATGATTCAGAACCAGGCGCTTCTGATCCTGGGGAGTGTGAGGAGGATCCCATGGCCATGGCCATGTTACAGGCATCCCGAGCTTGTTTGGAGGCACAAAGGGAGGCAGTCCTGATTCTTGGCATCATAAACCCAAGCTTTACACAAGAAATGATTATTTCAAATTTTAGGGTGAACACATATCTCATTATGGTCGAAATTTATTGTAAAGGTTAACATCGCCTCAGGGTCTTAAAGTGATATTAACTTGCCCTAATGTACAATGATCTAAGGAGGCGGTTGCAAGCCATCCGTGATCTGAAGAACAAGCCCAAAAGAGAAGACCGATGCCCATCAGTACCTTCAGGCTTGTTCTTTTCCAAAAAATGTTTTCTGTGGTTTCAAAAGGTATGGATGAATGATTCACTGAAAACAAAGACACACATCTATACCCTGTAGGTGTGAATGTTGATGCTATGGAGACCCTGCCCTTTGACATGGGTGGTGGTGACTCTTATGGTTCCATGTTGGAGACTAGCTCGGAGGTTGGTGCCCCTGATTCACCAACCCATGGAGTCGAAGCCCTTGCTGATCCCAACCATGATGGAACTCATGCTGTTGGGGTTGATACTGTTCCTTCACCCAACCATGGAGATGATGACATCTTGAAGAAGAGAACTCTGGAACTTGGTGAGACGTCTGATGGTGAGCAGCCTCTCACCAATCCTGAGGACCAGCCTGCCCTCCCAGGCCAACCGGTCTCTCCTCCATCGGCTTCAGTGCCTGCAGCCAGCGCAGCAGAGAATGTGGAGCGACAGGTGGAGAATGGAGATGATGGGGTTGGGGTCGTGGCACCACTGGATGCAATGGTTTCACATGATGGTGATGTCAGTTTCAATCCGGACAAGCACCAGGACATACAGTAACCTGAGTGAGCAAAACATGTTCAAGTTTATTAGCGTATACATTCTGAATTCTCAATTTTGGGGTCCATTCAAGGTTTAAGCAACACTGGTTTATCAAGTTGGCATGACACTGCCCACCAGGAGCCACTTTCTCGTATCCAACAGTTTGGCGGTGTACCGGAAGCTGATGGCGATCTTGACACCACCAAGCCAAAAGGAAAGACCCCAAAGGCAAAAGCTAAGTCGAAGGCAAAGGCAAAGGCGAAGGGTAAGAGCCGAAGTAGCAAACCTTCACCTAAAGCAAAAGCAAAAGCGAAGGCAAAGGCAAAGGCATTTGCTAAGTCAAAGGCGAAGAAAGAAAAGGTGGAAGAGAGCGAGGTCCTTGTCACACCCAAGCGAGCACCCCCAAAAGGTGATGCACAAGAAGGCGGTAGCAGGTCGAAGCAATCTAAGAAACGAACCTCAGAGGGAGGAACCACCAGCAAGAAGGATGCAAAGGAAGCACCTACCAAAACCCGAGCCTCCAAGGGCAATGCAGCGTCCTTCGCTCGCCGCAATCCACCTGCGAATGAGCGGGCCAAGGCTGAGTGGGAGGCCATTCGCAGTGCTTATCGCCGAGAGTTGATGTATCTTCGCCCCCAAACCAAACATGAGGACAGGGTTCGAAACAAAGATCTTTGATTTGCATTCCATGGGCTTCCAGACTCTGATGTTCAGGTATCCCAAAAACATATGGTATTAAGTTTAAGATAATGACATAGAAACCCTGAAATCTCAGTGACTTTTTTGTTGTTTTTTTCGTGGTTTCCCAAGATCACAAAAGGGCACCTCTAATCAAAACATAACCAGCAAATAATTGTCGATGCTTAGAACCTGTGGTGTGAGATACATTCTTTCCACAACTGTTAGAGCCCTAGCTTGTACCAGGATGGCTTTTGGAAGTTTGTCAAGAACAAGAACCATGAAGTCGTCGATGGAACGGCTACGGATGCGCTGGGTGATGTGATCATGGGTCTGACTGAGGAGTATGCCAACCTTGCCAAGTGAAGTGAGAAACAATGAGAAACATGTTAATTTGAACTTTGAATAGCTCTCAAATTTGTTTGATGGGCCGCATCTGCATTCTTAAATGCAGTCGGCATTCTTGTCGGGGAAACATGGGAAGTGAAATCTTCCTTTGACGTTCTGCAGGGGCGATCCTTGCAACATGGGCCACAAACCAGTGTGGCAAAATCCACTTTGGCATCCAGCTTACCGGGGAAGGAAAAGGTTCTGCAAAAGCATGTTTGCATCTTATTGGGAAAGTCAAATTTCATTGCAATCTTGATTCCAGTTTTGAAATGCACAGAGCCTCGTGTTTTCAAAACCCAGCGCCAACAAGTTTCCAAGATTTTTTTTTATGGACAATATACTTGATGCAGGTAGATTCACCATCCTATCTTGGTTTGATATATACAAATATTTAAGAACTTGGCTTTGGACCAGGATTGGAAATTCTTTTGATTGCAAAATCATGAGGTGGATATAGGTGGATAGATCATAATTGGAAACTTGTGGGCCACTCCAATTCCATGTATGTATACCACATCCACCGGTTGCAGGTGATGAAACGAGGGCAAGGTTGGCTGGCCTCCCATGGTGGCCTTGATGAAGACCGTCTTCCCAACCTGTTTGGCAGCCATGAACGGTCAGTGATGAATCCATTTGCCAATCGACTTGTTCATTCAGTACATATCCTGCAGCTAGTGATCAAAAGGGTCTGACTTAGTATTTTCTTTGGGTGCCATGCTTCAGCGCCATGAAGAACTGATTCGTAAGCTGATGTCGGTACCACATGTTCCAAAGGACTGCCCTGCTTGGGGAAAATGGTGTTGGATTTCCATGGTTCCCATATACTTTTAATTTACAACTAGTCAAATTTATGTACAATGATGAACTTTGGTCACCAAGGTGTTTTACACATGGAGTCCACATAAATCAAAGTGTTCCCATGTCAAACAATAGCAACAAATCCAGGAGTTCATCGCTATCGTGATCATGGTCACCTACATGGTTCCAGAACGGGTGTCAAAGATTGCTGGGTGCCAGTTCTTAGAGCTCTTTTCAGGCCAAGCTCGAACTTCTAGGCTTGCTAGCTGGACAGGTTACAAAGCCAAAGCTGTTGATTATGTTTATTCTCCAGCGCTGGACTTCCTCAAGAGTTCGGGCTTTGTGTTCCTTGACCCTTATATACCACCAGGAGTTTATGTTCTATATAACCTTATGACAAACCATATATATATAATTATATATATAATTAAATCATTTTATGGTTTTGTAGCCCCTTCATTTGTTGTGGCCATTTAGGCTTATCCAAGGTCAGGTGGTATCATAATATCATCTCATCAGTGGGATGTGTTCGTTCACCTAAGGCTGGCAGTGGCCTTGATACTCTTCGGGGACCCTGACATGGTAGCCCTGGTAGCTACTGAATGCAGCAGTTTTGTTCACATGAATTCTGGAACATCAAAACGCAGCCAGTGGATGCCAGATGGGGACCCAACGGTTTGCTCAGTGCTACGTGCCAATGGCTTGGCAGCAAGAACTTGCTGCCTGCTACTGTTGATCAATTTACTCCAAATGACATTTCTGCTGGAACAGCCAGGTTCTTCTGTTTTGATGTTGACATGTCGAATGGAATGGCTGATAAAGACCATGAAAGACTTTGGAATTACAACTTACCGTCAAGCCTTTTGGATGGCTTGCTGGGGCCACCAGAATCCAAAGAGGACAGTCCTATGGTCAAACAATCCAGCTGTTGTTGTTTTCACCACGCCCAAAATAGCCCGAACTCCAATCAAAGGGCCACCAACTGTGAACCGCTATGTCTCAAAGCGTAGTGGCAAATCTGGTTACAGTGGGTCACGGTACCTGAAGAAAACAGAGCACCTTGATTTGAATTTATTGATTGTTTTTTCACTGATCAAAATAGATGTGTGAACCCTCTATGCCCCTAACCTCTGACCTCGAATGTTCATTTGAGGCATTACCCGAAGAAGTTCGCAGCAAAGGTTGTGGAAACAATTCCAGCTTTTGTGCATTTAGCACGAGAGATCAAACAAGTCCCACAGGCCCATGTGAGTTCATGTTATAGTTGTAAAGCTTTCAACAGCATGCTTCCTCCACCATCCTGCTTTCCAGCCTCTGCCAACTGGAGGTGGCTGGCCCTTTGCATCACATCTTTGACGAGATTCCTTGGCAAAAAGAAGAGCCGTGGCCCGAAGCCAAGTTGACTGAGTGTATGATCTACCTGAGTCGAAGTAAAATGGTGCAATGTCCACCAGAGTTCAACAAAGTCATTCCCAAAGGAGACTATGATGTTGGACTCGTTCGCTCTGGATGGATGTTACCAATTAATTATTAAAACCATGCTGCCCACCATGGGTATACATGTGGTACACTAGTGCTACTGTCAGCGCTGTCCAGGGGGAAAATGCTGCAAATTGCATCGTTCAGCGTTTTTTTGCACTTTCAGCTAAAAAATCATTCCAAAACAATGGCGGAAATTCCCGGAAAAATGCCGGAAATTCCCGGAACAATAGCGGAAATTCCCGGAGACCAATTGCTCAGAATTCTTTGATTTTTTTTGGCTTTTTTTTTGGGCAAGAACGCCCAAACACAAAAAAAATCATAGGTGGCTCAAGAAAATGCAGGGTAGCTTTCTTTCAAGCAGCTCCACATTGGGGGAAGCTCTTAATCTCATGTCCGAGCCAATTGATGATGTCGTGGGGGCACACTTTGACTTAGACGAGGAGGAAAAGCAGTTGAAAACCCAACTGGAGGCCAATGGTTCTGGACAGATACAAACACTGATTCGAAACATGGTTTTCACCAGGTCTATATACCCATCTTGGATTTTTACTCACGTGATCATCACCCCTCATCACCACAATGTCTTCAAACCTGTTATGGGTATATTAACGATATTATATCAGATT